CATGCGTCAGTCCATACCTTCTGCATGTTGCCGACGATCCTGTCCACCTCACGGAGGCCGATGTCGTGGACCTCTTGTGCCGTCATGTCGACGGAGAGATACCACCTGATGCAAGCCTCATAGAACTCCCGTCCTCCATCCAGAGAGCTGATGCCGATATCGGGGCGGGTGTTGGGCATATACTCCTGTGACAATAAAATATAAAACCTTTCCGAACTGAACACATACTGAACATTAGGAACTGAACGTGTGCTTAATATCATAGTGTCTGTTCCAGCTAACAAACTAACGACAGACATTCAGTAGATGTGTACAGCATGTATGTATTAAATACAATACTACTCGAATCCATTTGTAGGAGTTCATTGTCCATATGAACACCTCCATCTTAAAACAGTAAATCTCAAATATACTACCCATCAAAAGTGAAGATTCACCTAAAACGCTCACTATATGTTATGTATTATATATGGTTACATGGAAGATGAATTTCTCCACTAACTTCTGGGAACCAACTGCAAACCTTATGCAGATGAATTGTACGAGGATTATGCATCAAATGCTAAAAAACATGTGCAAGTATCGTTCATGCAAACAGCTACGTTTTGGTGTAAAGTTTTGATAAGAATTCGCTGATTTCACTGATTTTCATCATTTACTGAATTCATGACAATAATCTTTTCAACGTTACGAATTTGCTTTACAATACATTAGTTCATGTATAAACAGTATCTTTAAACTGAAGTGGAAATTTGGCAAAATCAAGTTTAGAACAGTTGACTGAAGAAAGTGGCTACATTTACACCAGTGAGTCTAAACTTTTGATGAGTAGTATAGAAAGAAATGTCAGAAGTATGCATATGATGAACTGGTTTTAATACTTATGAAGTGCTTAAGCAGCATAAACGAGACACAATAACAAAAAGCAATATTCTACATAAATATTTGAAACTCATTATACCTGCCAAATATCACATTAGATCTTACATTTTTTATGAATTGCTGCATATTCCTGAAAGCTGTCTGTAGATCGGTCACTGCTTGCAGCCCTCGTTGTTTTAGCGATTCTCTGTGTGAGAAACAAATGCCGATCTTAGTTGTTTGTAGTAAGGAAAACAATGGTTTATGTGCAATCATGTGACAAACCTGAAGATGTTAAAGTAGGCATAAAACTATTTGTGACGGGAAGGACGGGTCATCTGTCCCCTTTTAATTCACAAGACGTTTACCCACTCTGTTTTTATTACACATCGTCCAATTAAAAATAAGATTTCCTTGACGTGAGAAGCAAAGATGCATTTTATCAATTTGTTACCCGTGTGAAAAGTTATCAAATTCCAGATAGTTCCCCCAAGCACAATCCAACTATGCATAATAATTCCACAATAGCCAAATAGTTCCACTGAAACGCATCAGTGTCTCAGAATATGAAACAGCGTTTTAAAAAAATACAACATTAAGAAACTTCTTAGTCTCATTTATTATCAACATTAAATATTTCAAAGTAATGTCAGAATATCTGATAAGTAGTCCGACCCGTGCATTTCGAACCGTCCATCGTGACTGTTAGCTCTCGTTATTGCGCCAGGTTAGGCTTAAGTCATTACAGAGTGGAAATGCTAAAAACCCAGAAGTTTCTTCAACGTCAAAACACACCAATGGCATAAAATGACTCCAAAACATTTGACGGTTATTCAACGAGCACTTCTATGTGAACAATTGTATCTAACGACAGTCAATGTCTGATAAAGACATTGGGAGGTATGTGACCCGCACCTTGATATGATCAGTGATCATGAAGCACGAAGTTACGGAACAAACTGGCAGTTTCTGTTCAAATGTGTAAGAAAACAATCTGTACTGGATACAGTGGTGCAATATGAATTTGATGATGTATCTGCGCACTTTGGCAGGATTATTTTTCATCGCCGAAAGTAGGACTGGAAAGCATATTGTGTACCACATCTGTATTCGTTTTTTGTGAATTGAATGGCATAACCACATTATGTTTGTGTACGATGTTGGAGCAGGACTGGTGTGACTATTGTGGTATTTATTACCCATGTTGGGCAGGACTGGTGTGACTATTGTGGTATTTATTGCCTATGTTGGGCAGGGCTGGTGTGACTATTGTGGTATTTATTACCCATGTTGGGCAGGACTAATGTGACTATTGTTGTATTTATTGCCAATGTTGGGGCAAATCATGTGTGACTATTGTGGTATTTATTACCCATGTTGGGCAGGACTGGTGTGACTATTGTGGTATTTATTGCCCATGTTGGGCAGGACTAATGTGACTATTGTGGTATTTATTACCCATGTTGGGCAGGACTAATGTGACTATTGTGGTATTTATTGCCAATGTTGGGGCGAATCATGTGTGACTATTGTGGTATTTATTACCCATGTTGGGCAGGACTGGTGTGACTATTGTTGTATTTATTGCCCATGTTGGGCAAATCATGTGTGACTATTGTGGTATTTATTGCCCATGTTGGGCAGGACTGGTGTGACTATTGTGGTATTTATTACCCATGTTGGGGCAAATCATGTGTGACTATTGTGGTATTTATTACCCATGTTGGGGCAAATCATGTGTGACTATTGTGGTATTTATTGCCCATGTTGGGGCAAATCATGTGTGACTATTGTGGTATTTATTGCCCATGTTGGGCAGGACTGGTGTGACTATTGTGGTATTTACTGCCCATATAGGGCAGGACTTGTGTGACTATTGTGGTATTTATTGCCCATGTTGGGGCAAATCATGTGTGACTATTGTGGTATTTATTGCCCATGTTGGGCAGGACTGGTGTGACTATTGTTGTATTTATTGCCCATGTTGGGGCAAATCATGTGTGACTATTGTGGTATTTATTGCCCATGTTGGGCAGGACTGGTGTGACTATTGTGGTATTTACTGCCCATATAGGGCAGGACTTGTGTGACTATTGTGGTATTTATTGCCCTTGTTTGGCAGGACTTGTGTGACTATTGTGGTATTTATTGCCCATGTAGGGCAGGACTGGTGTGACTATTGTTGTATTTATTGCCCATGTTGGGCAGGACTGGTGTGACTATTGTGGTACTTATTGCCCATGTAGGGCAGGACTGGTGTGACTATTATTGTATGTATTTCCCATGTTGGGCAGGACCTGTGTGACTATTGTGGTATTTATTGCCCATGTTGGGCAGGACTGGTGTGACTATTGTGGTACTTATTGCCCATGTTGGGCAGGACTGGTGTGACTATTGTTGTATGTATTGCCCATGTGGGGCAGGACCTGTGTGACTATTGTGGTATTTATTGTCCATGTTGGGCAGGACTAGGGTGACCATTGTGGTATTTTTTGCCCATGTTGGGCACGTCTCGTGTGACTATTGTGCTATTTACTGCCAATGTTGGGGAGGACTAGGGTGACCATTATGGTATTTTTTGCCCATGTAGGGCAGAATTAATGTGACTATTGTGGTATTTATTGTCCATGTTGGGCTGGACTTGTCTGATTATTTTGGTATTTATTGCCCATGTTGGTCAAGACTTCTGAGACTATTTTGGTACTTATTGCGCATGTTGGGGCAAATCATGTGTGACTATTGTTGTATTTATTTCCCATGTTGGGCATGACTGGTGTGACTATTGTTGTATTTATTGCCCATGTAGGGCAGGACTTGTGTGACTATTGTGGTATTTATTGCCCTTGTTGGACAGGACTTGTGTGACTATTGTGGTATTTATTGCCCATGTAGGGCAGGACTGGTGTGACTATTGTGGTATTTATTGCCCATGTTGAGCATGACTTGTGTGACTATTGTGGTATTTACTGCCCATATAGGGCAGGGCTTGTGTGACTATTGTTGTATTTAATGCCCATGTAGGGCATGACTTGTGTGACTATTGTGGTATTTATTGCCCATATTGGGCAGGACTTGTGTGACTATTGTGGTATTTATTGCCCATGTTGGGCAGGACTAGTTTGACTATTGTTGTATTTATTGGCCATGTTGGGCAGGACTAGGGTGACCATTGTGGTATTTTTTGCCCATGTAGGGCAGAACTACTGGACTATTGTGGTATTTATTGTCCATATTGGGCTGGACTTGTATGATTATTTTGGTATTTATTGCCCATGTTGGTCAAGACTTCTGAGACTATTTTGGTATTTATTGCGCATGTTGGGCAGGACTTTTGTGACTATTGTTGTATTTATTTCCCATGTTGGGCATGACTGGTGTGACTATTGTTGTATTTATTGCCTATGTTGGGCAGGACTTATGTGACTATTGTGGTATTTATTGTCCATATTGGGCAGGACTAATGTGACTATTGTGGTATTTATTGCCAATTTTGGGGAAATCATGTGTGACTATTGTGGTATTTATTGCCCATGTTGGGCAGGATTGGTGTGACTATTGTGGTATTTACTGCCCATATAGGGCAGGATTTATTGACTATTGTTGTTTTAATGCCCATGTAGGGCAGGACTTGTGTGACTATTGTGGTATTTATTGCCAATGTTGGGCAGGAACTTGTGTGACTATTGTGGTATTTATTGCCCATGTGACTATTGTGGTATTTATTGCCCATGTAGGGCAGGACTTGTGTGACTATTGTGGTATTTATTGCCCATGTAGGGCAGGACTGGTGTGACTATTGTGGTATTTATTGCCCATGTTGGGGCAGTACTTGTGTGACTATTGTTGTATTGATTGCCCATGTTGGGCATGACTGATGTGACTATTGTGGTATTTATTGCCCATGTTGGGCAGGACTGGTGTAACTATTGTTGTATGTATTGCCCATGTGGGGCAGGACCTGTGTGACTATTGTGGTATTTATTGTCCATGTTGGGCAGGACTAGTTTGACTATTGTGGTATTTATTGCCCTTGTTTGGCTGGATTTGTGTGACTATTGTTGTATTTATTTCCCTTGTTGGACTGCACTTGTATGCAGGAGTTCACAGGCAACGGAGGACCTACCTGACTTCTGGGTCAACTGTACCGTTGTCCAAGGTACCAAGAAAGGGAGCGTAGAACACTGATTCATTGGTCTGACCCATCAAGGCATCGAACTGTTCCTCAACACGAATCTGAAGTTTAGACATGTCTGAATCTGAAATACAGAACCGACTACAAACTATTTCATAACTTTCATGGGAATGAATATTTTCATGTCACTCTTGCAAACTGAACAGGCATACAATATGTCAGGGTATACATGCTGCTTGTATTTATTTGTATGCGTGGTTAATATAATGCAGTGACGTCACACCCAGTGTTCGTTAGACAATGTAGTGTGAGAAGCCTATTAATCACGTTAGAATCGCTAACATGAATTACCATTAACCGTGAATTCCGTTTGATCCAATTTCACTCGCTCCTTCCCTCCATCCCTCCCTCCCTCTCTCCTCGCTTACCTCCTCCCTCCTCCCTCATCGACCACATTGTTATCAGTACCAATGACTGGTTATGGGAAGTCCTGTTTAGCTCCATGGCAGTCCTCATCAATGTTTGGAATTCCTGGTACTGAAACAGCAACAAGATGATGTGAGTTGATGGGTAGGATGCCACATTGGTTGTAGCACGTGTCAGCCATTTTGTTAACATGTGAATATTGAAACCAAAAGAAAATGTTTTTAAGTCATCTTTAAACTTGGCGTATAATCTGTAGATCAAAATCATGTATAACATTTTAGCTCTAAATTTCAAAACGTAAGTTGAGTTGTATAAAGTTTATGTTGTAGGTACTTGGTCAGGCATTTTCTGCAGTCTGGCGATATAGTTCTCGTAGTCGCCCCGAGTGAAGAATGGTAAGGAATCGACAAACGAAGAGGGATTCCTTTGAATACCGTCCATGAAACTGACCGGATTCAGGTTCTGGTATCTGCAAAAGTTTATACCGGACATTGAAACCACAGCAAAAAGTAATACCAGAGCATGAATACCATACTAAATAGCCCTTGGGCAATATTTGACTAGGAGTTAGGACAAGGTATATGATTCACCGTTACTGTTTACTTTTAAAGGTTCTCAGGTTATACATGTTATCTGAAGCCTTACTGGCACACAATACGTGTTCCTATGGTGCCATTTGTACCTGACTTGATCATCATGTGCGGGTGACCAGGTCTCCATGCCGACGCTATTCACTGTGTAGACTTGCATCCCTTAGGCAGCAAAAACAGTGATCGTTGGTTCAAATCCCAGAAATATCCTGGTTATGTTCTAGGTCTGCCAGACCCTTAGTCATGCAAAAGGAACCTCTATCACATCGGGACTTTCCATCAAAATTACGCCAAGACGCCGAAATTGAAATACTTCCAGAGCGGCGTTAAATGTAACTCACTCACTCACTCACTCAAAACGTTCCCCTTACTCTCTCCACTCCCAGCCCCGGATGTAGGTGGTCAGCATGTCGTCCAGGATCTTGTAGTTGACCAGGTCTGACTTACTCAGGTCAGTCTGAGAGATGTCCTCCAGTCGGTTGTGGAAGGAGTCAGCCTTCTCCTGATGAGGTAATGACAAAGGCTGATTAGTTTTCTCTTAAAACATTTAAATGTCAGAAAACTAACTGTCAGATATTTTCCTTCAAAATTGTACTTTTACATTGAATATGACTTGCATGTACCTTTCTGATGATGAACATAGACATGTTGAAGGACTCCAGCTGATCATCATAATTGTGTATGCCCTTCGTGGTGGCGGTTACCGGTCTGTCGGACATTCGCCAGGCAAAAAACTCATTGTGTAGCGTTGAGAGATCTCTAGAAGCACTCCCTTAAAGAAAGGTGTACGGTGTATGATTACAACCATTGTTGACACATTTGTCCGATATTAACTAGGACAACATTAACCATAATCGTATACGTGTCACATCAAGAATATAATACGACCAAGATCTCTCTGCTCCTAAATATATCCTCCTGGACCATCATGTACCCACCGTGACATATGTCAGCCCATGATACTACGCAGAGGATCATCGACAGCGGGATCCACATCCTGAAATATGGAAACAAAACTCAATGAAATATATAACAAACAAAACATGTCATAACGTTTTCTCGAGGTTCACATATTATTATGAATTATTATAGATTCTGATATATATTCTTTACAAAAGAAATGGTTTCTTTTCGTGCAATAAAATATAGTGATTACCAGCTGGACGTATGGACGTGCACTGACATGCATGTAGACATAGACGACATACATGTATGCTTGAAAACCTTATGGACCATCCATAAGATATAGTTAGGGGGAGAGGGTAATTAATTTTGTACACATGTACTAGGGGGTCAGCAACTTTGTACATAAAAATATCTAAAATTTATGCTTCCAAAGTTTGGGTGGGTGGTGGGTCATTGATTTTGTACACGAAATGCGGAGGGGAAGGTGGGGGAGGGTCATTACTCTGTACATTAATATTAGGGGGTGTCATTCACATTGTACATGCTTCTCCATAACAATCATCATCACCCCTACCCCACCCCCCTAGCCATAAATTATGAACGGTCCCTTATCAAGGTCACCTTCAGCACCTTGAAGGGATTTAATGAGTCATCCAATGGATATTCCTCAAAACTTTATTATACATAATTCACATTTATATATTCTGTTCCCGATATAGTTGAATTGGATATCATATTTCTATCATGACATAATCGCTTTCATATTTACGTTCTCTATAATTTTCATTTTTTCGCAATTGTCATTTTAGAAGCTTAACATAGCCCACTGTTAGATGTGCCAGAAAAAAGTCATGGTTATTTTGATCTGCTGGTATAATCTTTCATTTTATATTGTCCAAGTTTCTCGTTCATATACAACTGTTGTCGGTTTGTCATTATGTCAGTCAAACCAGACCATGATGACACGAGGACGAAACAAGCGACTGGGGCAGTGACATCCAGCAGATGAAAATAAGTATGACATTGTCCTGGATTGTGTTAACAGGTCAGGCTGTGTGCCTGGTGGTCAGATGACATCGTGGTTGTAAGACTGTCTGTCAAGTCCCACCAATCATGCAGGTATGACCTTCAATGAAGCGACAGCGGGACTTACTCGGACATTTGTAATACAACCTGCAGTAAAACCTAACACAGTATTCTATCGTGACTATATCCCGGTCTTACCTGGAGATGACACAACTTTATGGATGATCAACAATAGCGACGTTTCGGTATAGGTTTTTATACCGTTTTCAAGCAACATGTCTGCATTTCAAACGGTATAAGGACCTATACCGAAACGTCGCTATTGTTAAAATAATGAAGTTGATCATCCATAAAGTTGTGTCATCTCTATACCAGCAACTTCTAAAATGCCACTCAAACAAATCGGTCTTACCTGGTATGACACATCTCGACAGGCGTCTCACCAACTCGGATGTCCTACCTGTTGTGACAAACATATGCTGTGATGAATAATTCTCACCAATCAACGCCGTCACATGCACTCTCAGTTAAGGGCTCTTCCCAACATATAATATAGATGATTTACAGGTCATTGTCTGTAGACACACGTACATGAATAGTTTTTATGTTCGTTTATGAAGTATTTATTCAGTTCGATGAGAGGTTGACAGCGGGGTAGTGCGGTGGGTGAAGTGTTCCATTCTCTAAATGGGCTGGGTGTGCGGAGATAGGTTTGCCATGACCTTATAGACTCAGTGTTTAATAATTTTTGTTCGCAAAAATTTGATTAATATCTTCTTTGTCTACCAATACATCTCCACTAAGGATCTAATATAATAAACTGTTTTATGATGTGCTTTTACAGGCATGTCGTCATTTTTCTGACTGCAGCAATAAGGAAACTGCGTGCTGGCGACTAGATGCTTGGAATCCCTGGCGAGACTCAACCTAAAAAAGTATAGGAATCTTAACTAAGAAAGTCTAATCCCAAATGTAACAGACTACTTTTAAAACATATTCATAGCAATAACGATGCTTCACAGTATATGTCTCTTGATGTGTTGGTGGGTCCATGTATTGTACCTAAGTATAACACGTTCAATACGTAACAAGCTGAGTGCGACCTACACTATTTCTGAATCGGGAATGTTGGCTGCTGCGTTGAACTCTACTGCTTTGTAGGTTCGGAATGAGCAGATATATGGGTTGAAATGAAGCTACCATCTCTACTTATCTCCGGGCACTTGCTGCACGACATCAACTAAACTCCAGTACACCTACTTCAGTATAAGTAATACACTATCTATCTGCTATGTACTTGTGTGTGTACAGATTCATCTGTGTTTTGTACAGTAAACCAGCTTGACAACTATTTTAATCTGAAGTCCGTGGCGCTACAAAAAGGATCTTAGATAAATTTATCTCGGCATATGAATCTCAATTGTGAGGATAACGGCAGGTGGATGTCTAGGATAAATAAAACCTCATGCTGACCTGCATAAATATAATCTAAGATATATGGGCCTCCAGATATAACCGTAACAAAGTAACAGCTGAAGTACTGTTTACAGACATGTTGCTCTACTAGACGATTGTCAGGGTAACCTTGGTAGTTCGCCAAGCAGAAATGTCATATCTTGTCTTGATAGTGACCCCTAATATTTTGGAGTCATATTAAACAACAGATAAAACCAAAAAGCAGCACGTCAAACTCCATATCAGCGACTGAATGGGTGTCATATTTTGGAACTGTCTTTAATACCATAAACACTGACATTGATCAAAATCATCTCAATAAAGCCGATCAGTTTGTGAAAGAACATGATGACCAAACTTGTAGTGCCTGTAATGATGATGACGTCAATCACATATTAAACAGTGAAATATCGAACGTTGAAATTCTTCAGGCTATTGGCAATCTCAGTGTTGGGAAAGCGCCTGGACCTAATGCAGTTACACCTGAGATGATTAAATCTTGTAAATCTGAACTGTTACCGTATTTTCATGTGTTATTTAATGCTATACTTTCTAGAGGTAAATTTCCTGTGGAATGGAACAAGGGATTAGTGGTACCATTACACAAAAAAGGAAAAGCCTCAGAAGTTAATAATTATAGAGTCATAACACTTACTGTCATTATGAATAAAGTGTTTACATTCATTTTGAACAAGAGATTAACACTGTTTTGTTCTTTGTATGAACAGCTGCCTGAATCACAAGCGGGGTTTAAAGCTGGTTACAGCACTCTAGACAACATTTTTATCTTACAATGTTTAGTACAAAAGTATCTTACAAAGACTAATGGTCGCTTTTACTGCTTGTTTGTTGATTTCAAAAAAGCATTTGATTCTATTAATAGAAAACTATTATGGTACTCTGTATTGAAAAGGGACATTCATGGTAAACTATTTAATGTTTTGTTTGATATGTATGCAAATGTAAAATCTGCTGTTAAAATAACTAATTTGTCAATATCCAATTATTTTGATACATTGAGTGGTGTGAAACAGGGATGTGTACTCAGCCCCTTGCTGTTCTCATTGTTTGTGGTAGAATTTGAAAATATGTTGTATGAATCCAATGTTAGGGATATTTTTGTAGGTCAAGAATTTATGGATATATTGTTGTTATCTTATGCAAATGACTTGTGTGTGTTTGATGACAGTGTTGTTGGTTTGCAGAGAAAACTTGATGTACTTTAGCAGTATAGTATTAAATGGGGATTAAATGTTAATCTAGATAAGACAGAGATATTAGTGTTTAGAAACGGTTGTAAGCTAAGGGGAACAGAAAAATTGATGTTTGGAAGTGATCAGGTTAAGATATCAACGTATTATAATTACCTGGGATTCTAATAGATTATGTTGGTCAAAAGCAATTAATGTTCTTGTTTAGAAAGCCAATAAGGCTTTATTTTCAGTTAAACACCTACAGTATAAGATGAAGAAAATTTCTCCCACTGTTTTATTTAAGATTTTTGATACACAGATAAAACCAATTTTACTTTATTCCAGTGAGGTATGGGGATTTTTTAAAATTGAATATGTTGAACGTTTTCACATTAAGTTTTGTAAATATGTTTTAGGTGTTGGGTATTATGTCTCAAATGATGCGGCTTTGGGTGAATGCGGTAGACATGGTCTGTTTATTGATTATCATAAACGATGTATTTCATTTTGGTTAAAATTGTTAGCAATGCCAACTGTTAGATATCCAAAACAATGTTATTATGTAAATCATTAGATGAATGTAATCGTATAACTTGGGCATCAAAGGTTAAACACTTACTATTTAGTTATGGCTTTGGTTTAGTGTGGATCACACATGAAGTGGGTGATAAAAACATGTTTCTTAATACTTTTGTACAAAGACTTAAAAACTGCAATCAACAAAATTGGTACTCTAAAATTTGTGATTCAAGTAAATTTTGTAATTTTAAAGAATATAAATCTCTTTTGTCAGTTGAATATTGTTTGTGTGCTATCCTAGAAAGAGAATACAGAAGACTTTTATGTTTTTTACGAATGTGTGAGCTCCCTTTACTGGTTAATATTGGCAGACGGGGTGACATTCCCCGCAGTAATAGCATATGTACATTTTGTGCGTTAGGTTGTGTAGAAGATGAATATCACTTCCTTCGAAAAGGGCCCATTGTATGACTATCTCAGATCAAAATATATACCAAGATTTTATTGTAAATCACCCACGATGTTTAAATTTAAAATTCTTTTAACATGTAATAAGATAAATATTTTGTTAAATGTTGCAAAGTTTATTAAGGAAGCTCTATTTCTCAGAAATTCCAATCTGTCATTATAATGATTATTTTGTATTATATGGTACATGGGCCGTTGGCCTTTATACCGAATAAAAGAATTGATTGACCTAATAATATATTTACCGTTGCATGACGTTGGCGATGTTGACATGTTGACGGTCAGCAAGTAGCTCAGGGTGCCGAGTACATTTCATGGACACTAGTTATGCCCCAAATTTTTACATTGCTTGATGTGGCAAAGATAAAGTCGCAGAACAAACCTAGAGTGTGTAAAGATCATATTCTGAACCACTGTCTAAACAATAGGGTGTCCCTTTAAGATTCTAATAGCAACTGTATCGCCAAAAGATATGTACTTTGCTGAGAAAGTGTAATCACATATACAAAATATATATCAAATATAACATGCGTTAATACGTGTGACCACTTTTTAAATGGAATTGTGTATTCACAGCTTTCGGCCGTGGGAGCCGTGCCAATTTACACTTGCCAGAGGGGTACACAAGGCCCGTGATCTGGACTACCAGTAACTGTTGTCCGACTTGTTAATCTGATATGCACACATGCATGCGTGCACTGTTTAAACACATTACGCACTCTTTGCCTAAGGAAAGGTGATATGTGTACACGGAAACAGCATCTGTGTGTGTTACTGAATGTTTGGTAAAATGTGCTATAACAGGTTTTCAGGTCATCACATTGTACCTTGCCTAGCAATTGAAAAAAGACAAAGATCACTGTATGACTGTTCACCAGTGGCTCACGTGGATATTTAAGCATCACGTGGATATTCACGTGGCTCATTGCCGAACCCTCAGCTCTTCACATATCAGGCTACAGTGCCCGGACCGTCCAACATGTCAGAATAATCCTTCACGAGTCAGGTCGCAGTACCCTTAGCTCTTCGCGTAACAGGCTACAATGCCTGAAGAGCTTCACACGCTAGGTTACAGTGCCTGAAGAGCTTCACATGCCACGTTACAGTGCCTGAATAGCTTCACAAACCAGGTTACAGTGCCTGAATAGCTTCACAAACCAGGTTACAGTGACTGAAGAGCTTCACATGCCACGTTACAGTGCCTGAATAGCTTCACATGCATGGTCACAGTGCCTGAAGGGCTTCACACACCAGATTACAGTGCCTGAAGAACTTCACATGCCACGTTACAGTGCCTGAATAGCTTCACATGCCAGGTTACAGTATCTGAAGAGCTTCACATGCCAGGTTACAGTGCCTAAAGAGCTTAACACACCAGGTTACTGTGCTGAAGAGCTTTCTACTCCAGGTTACAGTGCTGGAGAGCTTCACACACCAGGTTACAGTGCATGAAGGGCTTCACACACCAAGTTTCCATCCCCGGCTTCACATGTCAGATGTACATGATAACTTGTGCTTCATTTGACCAGTGCAGTTACATCCAGCGAGCTACATGTGTCAGCACATGTATCGTGAGATCCGAGGTACATTTTTTGTGTCCGTGGTCGAAACTTTCAATTCACAGCTCTCTCGACATACCATTTATTGCTTACAAGCAATCATTGACAAAACACACAGTACTGTAGCACTCCCGGCTATATCGCAAACAGTTTAATTATTCATCTATTCACACATCTGAAACAATGAGTTATAGTTCACGTGCAGCGTGTTATGATGTACAACAGTTTCACAGAACACAATGGTTACATTTACTTAACACAATCCTTCATCTTTGAGCATTTGCTTCCTGTTTTCATCCCCATTCGACACAAACAAACACACGATCATGGTGAAAGACACATGTGCCTTCAGGATATATTTGGACAACATCTGAAAAAGAGGCCACACCCACAGAACACTATTTTTAAAAAATTGGCTATGTTAGCACCCAAAACGCAGCTAAAACAGTACGATTGTGAACTTAACATTTCCTAAGTTGAAGTTTATATATTCATCAGCCACACAAATACTTAACATTATTTTAAAAAGTGTACAAGAGTATTAATGTGCAAGATGGACAATTACTGATTTTATATCGAAACTTAACCCTGTCTAAATGTACATGTAGACAGAAAGGTAGAGTGACACAAGACTTGATATGTACATAGGTACATTGTTGGCAGCTCCACATGTTGGGGTGACCGGTCTGGGGGTAGTCACGGGGTACGTGTCCAGCCAATCAGTGACCAGGTCCTCCAGCACGTTCAGGGGCACAGTTCCGCTCTCGAGCACGACAGAGTGAAACTCACGTATGTCAAACTTGGAGCCTGAAATTACAGAACTGAACCTGAAATTGACGGTGACTGACAGGTACCAGGCAATTGGTATTGTCTTCTGAGGAAGGGCAAAGCTGTTCATGCAGCACGTCTAGTACAACGAGGGAGTGGATGAATATTGCTAAACGCCGCATCAGTAATTTTGCATCTGTCCTCTGAGGTTGAGGGCAGGAGAGGTCTGTTCGACTGCTTGCCTACAGCTAACCTGCTGGTACAGTATAACCAGAAATTATTAAGAATTTAAAGATTGTAATTTTTTATATTTTTTTCACTCATTACTCAAGTATTAAATGTGAATATTAGCAGAACATAACTCCAGATTCAAAGACAAGTGAACAGTTAGTATTTTGTCAAGTCACCATGGGCAGCAATGCAGGCTTCAATGCGGTGGGGCATACTACTGATCAAAGACGTTAGAAAGTCGTGGTCCATGCTGTCCCAATATCGGACTACCTCTTCCTTCATTTCAGCAATATTTGTCAGATTTTTCGTATTGACACTTTCCTTCATAAGTCCCCAAACAGTTTCTATTGGATTTAGGTCAGGGCTATAGCTTGGCCAATCTAATAATGTCTTATTTTGGGTCCGAAACCAGGCCTGTGAATGCTTTGAACAATGTTTTGGGTTGTTGTCCTGCTGGAAAATCCAAAATTTCCATAGAACACTTGAGCAGATGGAAGTAAATGTCCCTCGAGAATATCTGTGTACCGCTCACTGTTCATATTCCCTTCAAATACACAGAGGGGCGTTGCCCCTACCACAGATATGCCACCCCACACGTTAAATTTCGGACTGTACGTTTGGCGCTGATACAAAGGTTTTTCAGTTTGTTTGGTCCAGAATTTCAGTGTATTAGGAAACAGCCACACAGAACTTTCATCTGAGAAAATCACATTGTCCCAGTTAACATTTTTAAGCTGTAAGTACCAGTTCAACCTTCGCTCCTTTTGTTCAGGTTTCATGAACGGCGATGGAATTCCTCGACTTTTCTGCCAACCCATTGCATGCAGCTCAGTTCTAATTGTCTCCTTACAGACAGCCACAGTTCCTCTATCAATCATATCCAGCCTTAAGTTTTCTAAACTCCTTTGTTTGTTTTTAGAAACAAGAATACCAAGCCGCCTCCTGTCACCGACAGTCAATTTTCTGGGCCTACCTGCGCCTCCCTGGTGCTCAATGCCATATCCATTTGCAATATTTTTCAAAACACGATAAACAGTGGACAAAGGGATGCCTGTTCTACTTGAAATCACTTTAGCTGATCTGATGTCCTTGTGATAATACTCTAAAATCAACTTCCTCTTCTCTAAATCATCCATACTGAGGATCACTGAAAATATCGTCTGCTAGCAAGTACACAAAGGGGGATAACTCTTCACAAACTAATGAAAAAGGATTAACGGAGTTGTCTCTCTTGAATGAACCAAGCACTTGATAGCTGGTCAAGGTTGTTTATACTAGAAATCCAATTAAACATATTCCTAAAATTCTCAATAATTTCTGTTCATACTATATATAGTGGTTACAAGAGAGAAGTGGTATAACACAATCACAGGTTAGTGTCGACAGGTAACCACCATCATTTACCAGGACTCAATTATTTTAGACCGCCGCCATAAAGCTGGAATATTGCTGAGTGCGGCGTAAAACAACAAACCAAATCAAACCAAAATCCAAGCATACACGTAACACTGATGTAACAACGTATCGTTCACGTAGATATAACTGAGCTGTTTCATTGAATAACTGTCTTGACAACACAGTGATGCTTACTTACTAAACACTGACGGCATTATTTGCGATATTTTCACATGTTCAACATATATCTGCAGCTTCAGTTATCAGCTACGTATATATCGTCACGTCACCTAGCGTCTCCTCTGCCTTCCGTCGCAGCTCCAGGATCTTGATCTCCCCGATCTTGTAGGCCAGAGCTTGACCAGGCCACGTGATGTAGCGGTCAATCTCCACTGCAGTGTTGTCATAGGACTCCGCCGTGTAGTTGAGCATGTAGTCAATGGCCTCTTCGCGTGTCCAGCTGTGCCAACATGACCACTGATTATATGTATGTGACTAAACAGTGTCCAGTTGATAATAATACGATGGGTTGCATAAAAATAACGAGAGAATGAAAATATTATATCAAATGAAATGGGGCATTTATTCCTTAAAACCAGAAGACGTTATTGATGTCATAACTCAACACAATGTTTGTCATGGTGTCGTGTACGTACTTGAAAGCATGGATGCCTGTGTCCACCACCAGTCGACATGCCCGGAAGATCTCCGAACTGTAGCGCCCCATGCTGACACAGATGTAAAGTGGGTAGCGTTATAAGCACATTCATGGCGATACCAAATGTTAATTGGAAATGTTACGAAAGACTTATGCTCCCACGTTGATAGCATAATTTGGGGATTAAAAGAAATCTCGTAAATATAAAAATATCTGTATATTTCTTCGTGGTTGCGATTTCTTACTCGTTACTTCGATTATACTTTCGCAATTTCTATTATTTACTCGTTATTTCAGGAAGTGTTCCACTTCCGACAATACACACTATGATGCATTTTTATACCAAGTGCCACGTACAGTTCATAATCATCTCTGTACAGCTTCATCTCTTCGCCCAGGTACTCAGTGTACAGCGCCCAGCCCTGGAGTTGAGAACAGTAGATCAGGTTTATAATGGTCTGTTGTATGGGTAACAGAAAGGATCTGGTCAGCTCTGGGAGACCTTATTATCAGTATCAACATTGGACATACCAATCACTTGGTCCACTTCACTACTGTCTGCTTCTTTCTCCCAGCAGTTTCTTGCAAACGTTTATGGTAACTGCATTTAGGAATGGCAAATTATAACAACTACCAACACGGAAATTGAAAAGAAAGTCTTGTCTTATTATGGTATTGACATCAGAACGCCATTCATGTAGATAGGAAAAGGAGATAACTTTACCTCGACAAATGATGTGTATCTAGGGAAGCCAAAAGGAACATTGAACAGAGCAGACGACAGCATCTTTTGCCGGAAGTCGGGGGTGTCGGATGTAATGGCGTAGCTAAGCTGAAACAGTTATTATAGGTGGAATGAGAGATTACAGCAAATGTTTGTGTTGACGTTTCAATACACAGTATAAAGTCGGATTTATGAGAATACTGTAAAAACAAGGACATTGACCAGGGCGAATCAGAGAATCCCTGAGGACCACGACTCATTCGACCTTCACTGACTGAGTCACATGTGTCCCCTGTCCCAATAACTTGGTGACACTCACCTGCAGGTGATGTCCGGGGTTGGCCTCGTGGATGGACAGCGCCATCATGGTCAGGGTGGGGCTGCAGCAGGAGATGAGTCACGTGATATACACAGCGGGACATCACATTTATTGTTGTATTTACGAATATTGATAGGAAGAATGAAAGACCAACATAAATACAAACAATTAAATTAAAAAGAGGAGATAATGAGTATACATATTGTAGATTGTAGAAGTGTAATCCTTAATTATAAGCACAATTCACAGCAAGCACAAGCATAAGATACGCGCACATACCACACACAAAACACGCCCAAACCACGCAGGCTACACCAAACACACACTACAAACTTAGACCAAACACACAACATGCATTCACACTCCACCATCACGTGTACAGTCCTCCCTCCCTGCACGAGGACGTTAAACAGCTCACGATTCATGGGGCCGCAACACATTTGCCCAGAATATCCCTGGTCTGGAGCCGTCGGCAGATCCGGTGGAGTAGGAGCCACCAGGGCCGTCGTTGGGCATCTCCCGCACCCTAGTGTGACGCAAACATAATCATATATCCTCGGCAGCAAACATGTCATGGTCTAGGGTAATCTTTATTGAAGGGGTACTTTCATGTCGTGTCTAAAGGTCAGTATCGTTTTATGTCTACTTTTGTATGCCGCAAGTAACTGCATCTTTGTTTTTCTAGAATGGTTGGTTATAGTATTCCAGCTATATGGCGACGATCTGAAGTAAACTGTATATACTGTGATACGTACTCTAGAGGAAGTGTTTAAAGCAGGAAGGTTATAAAATGTGATACGTACTCTAGAGGAAGTATTTATAGCAGGAAGGCTATAAACTGTGATACTTACTCTAGAGAAAGACCGGCAGGTTGACTATAAACTATGATACGTACTCTAGAGGAAGACCGGGTAGGTTGACTATAAACTATGACACGTACTCTAGAGGAAGACAGGGCAGGTTGACTATAAACTATGACACGTACTCTAGAGGAAGACCGGGTAGGTTGACTACAAACTATGACACGTACTCTAGAGGAAGACCGGGCAGGTTGACGAAGAAGTCTTCAAGTGTAGGTTCTATGACATCAAATATCTGATGACGAAATTCTGCTAAGATGTCCTCCTGGAAATGGGAATGATATATGGAAATGTGGCTGGGTTATCTGTCATGTTCACTGGGCGGACATCGATACTGGACAAGCCTGACTTACGCCATGTCCCAAGACAGTTTACCATGCCTGACATAAAATTTCATAAAAGTAATCATCATAGCAACGTCTTTGTTTCATATGACAAGACTCAATTAGCACTGGTAACTCAGTAGGTATAGTCATTCATGGATCTGGTTCACCTCATGTACACTGTCGTATTGCATTATTTAAGAGGAGTTATCAAAAGCAATGGATATTACTCAGACAGATCGAGTTTGTTTTGAGGTATCATATTTATTGAGACAGTGTTGGTGCCACAACATGTACCAAACCTTGTAATGTATGATATGTACATGTGTGTAGTGAATGAAAAATAAGTTCTATGGTGTTTGTATGCCGCTTGTTGCAATATTCCAGCAATAGTACGGCGAGGGACACCAGAAATGGGCCTCACACATTGTACCCATGTGGGGAATCGAACGAACGCTTTAACGACTAGGCTACCCCACCGCCCCTCAAAGTAATCTATCTGGGGAAATCAAACCCGGATATTCAGCGTGAGGAGCGAACCATTTAACCACTAGGCTACCCCTTGTAAATGGCAAATGAAAGTATTCTAACGTAAAGTACACTATATGGCGGACCCAGATTACTGGCATCTGAAAGTATTCTAACGTAAAGTACACTTTACGGTGTGCACTATACGTAAAGTACACTATCCGACAGACCCAGATTACTGGCAAATGAAAGTATTCTAACGTAAAGTGCACTATACGGCTGACCCAGAGTACTGGCAAATGAAAGTATTCTCACGTAAAGTGCACTATACGGCTGACCCAGAGTACTGGCAAATGAAAGTATTCTCACGTAAAGTGCACTATCCGACGTAAACATTTAGAGGCTTTTGAGGTTTTAAGGATGAGAACATATATCCAGATCAGTTATCGAAGTTTAGTAACTGTACAGTATAAAAAGGGAACATTCAAATTGAGCGAGCGAATTTCCAATGCAACGATGGGACTATGTATTGACCAGCTAGTCACCCTTTGTGGAGACAGGTCTTGGAAAGAATTTCAGAACGTGAGTAGTTGAGCATGTAAAACAACTACACAGAAGCTGCACGTACCGCAGTGTCGAAGAAGAAATCTGTGTTATTCATGATGGTCTGAAAGTACTCGCGGACACTCCCACCGAACTCTTGCTTCGTCATGATCTGCTTGCACAACAACATGAATATAGATAAATACACGCAAGGTGATGGTTAGACATACATGTACATTGGCAGTGGATACCCTCTAGTCAAAGGTAAGAAGTTACACATAGCACATGTGGCAATTAAGTCCAGCTGATTGTTGGGACAACCCCCACAGCTGATTGATGGGACAGTACAAACATAACACATACGGCAATACATATTGCTAGGACAAACATACACACGACACACACACGACATATACACACATGGCACACACATCAGTACAGACAATAATCTTTTATGGGGCAATACATACTACACTTGACTGGCAAATAAAAAGGGCACGTGCGATATAACACTTTGCACTTCGTTAACTCAATAGTTTGGCCGTGGTACATTATTAGATATAATTAGCATATTTGTTTCGAACAATTAACACACGTTTCTTTCAATATCTACTTTGTGGACCCAATAAAGAGAGTCCCCACCTTCTGCATGTTGCCGACGATCCTGTCCACCTCCCGGAGGCCGATGTCGTGGACCTCTTGTGCCGTCATGTCGACGGAGAGATACCACCTGATGCAAGCCTCATAGAACTCCCGTCCTCCATCCAGAGAGCTGATGCCGATATCGGGGCGGGTGTTGGGCATATACTCCTGTGTTATGAAAATACAAACATGGGTGAGGTATATCTGTCATATGTACCCATGATATCGTACTCATCACACCCAGCTTTTCCAAACACATTTACTGTTTTATTGCTATGACCTTAGACGACAAGATCTCCACAACTAGCTATCTAGAACCTCTCAGTAACTCACCTCTTCGATAAACAACCACAGATCCGCGAGAGCCTGTAGTAATCCAGATACTGCGTCCACTCCTCGGTCTCGGAGATCGTTTCTGAAACGGGGAACATCAGTGTTAGTCGTTCATGTGTTCTAAGACAGATATCATACTGTCCTGAAGTTTCCAAAGCACTAAGGATACATAGAAACAGCTACAGTTGACAGTTCTCATGTGTTTTAAATGACGTCTAACTGTCTGCGGACGTCATGCGAAACTTCATAGTATGTGCATACACCCGTCTGGTTGCGAAATGTCCAGGACGTGGGACTAAAGTTACAAGATATAATTTTCATATCATTCAACAGCTGGACGCTTCCGTTGAAATGACGTCAACGACTGCTACTACATCTTACTTCTTCTGCAGTGAGATGTCTGTGTTATTTTCCAGAGTGTCTGTGAATGGCCAGAAGAACTGTGACTCATTGGCCACCATCTGTAACTTGTCGAACTGACCCTCAACACGACTCTGTAACACAGACACAACAACTAGTCCTTTAACACATTGTGCATTGCTTTGTGGATTTCTCTATATGTGTACTACTGCACACTGCACAAGTTCAACTCTAAACATATACATTCACACACACATACAAACACACACACACGCACGCACGCACGCATACATACATACATACACACACACACACATGCATACATACATACACACATACATACATACATACATACATACATACATACATACATACACACACACACATACACACACATACATACATACATACATACATACATACATACATACATACATACATACATACATACATACATACATACATACATACATACATACATACATACATACATACATACATACATACATACATACACACACACACACACATACATACATACATACATACATACATACATACATACATACATGCTAAGGTAATTGTACTTAACCAGTGAATGCAAGTGATAAGTCCTGTTCAATCGAACCGCCTCAAGCATCAACTCTTTGAACTCTTCATACTGGAAGACAATACAGATCAAGTAACATCTTATAGCTAGGCATTCTAAATATCAATCATATGCTATGTTTTATGCATGTGTTTTTAAGTGCACGTCAGGGAAACTAAAGTTTCTTTGCACATGGATACTTGATATTGAGTACACTCAATCGTTTTGACATCTACCTGCTGAGGAAACTTCTGGAGTCTGACAATGTAATTCTCAAAGTCTCCGAGAGTGAAGAAGGGCAGAGACTGGACCATGGACTCTATGTATGACTGTGGACCTTCCAGAAAATTGACAGGACTGAGGCTCTGAAAACTGGAAGCGTTGAACATTCATGGCAAGCTACTTGTACGTGTTATAGGGATTACACACTTAGACATCAGACCCACATTCATGTCAAGCTACTTGTACGTGTTATAGACCCACATTCAAGTCAAGCTACTTGTTCGTGTTATAGGGATCACACACTCAGACATCAGACCCACATTCATGTCAAGCTATTTGTACGTGTTATAGGGATCACACACTCAGACATCAGACCCACATTCAAGTCAAGCTATATGTACGTGTTATAGGGATCACACACTCAGACATCAGACCCACATTCAAGTCAAGCTATATGTACGTGTTATAGGGATCACACACTCAGACATCAGACCCACATTCATGTCAAGCTATACTTAGACATGTACGTGTTATAGGGATCACACACTCAGACATCAGACCCACATTCATGTCAAGCTATATGTACGTGTTATAGGGATCACACACTCAGACATCAGACCCACATTCATGTCAAGCTACTTGTACGTGTTATAGGGATCACACACTCAGACATCAGACCCACATTCATGTCAAGCTACGTTGTACGTGTTATACTTGTACGGATCACACACTCAGACATCAGACCCACATTCATGTCAAGCTACTTGTACGTGTTATAGGGATCACACACTCAGACATCAGACCCACATTCATGTCAAGCTATATGTACGTGTTATAGGGATCACACACTCAGACATCAGACCCACATTCATGTCAAGCACATTCATTGTACGTGTTATAGGGATCACACACTCAGACATCAGACCCACATTCATGTCAAGCTACTTGTACGTGTTATAGGGATCACACACTCAGACATCAGACCCACATTCATGTCAAGCTACTTGTACGTGTTATAGGGATCACACACTCAGACATCAGACCCACATTCATGTCAAGCTACTTGTACGTGTTATAGGGATCACACACTCAGACATCAGACCCACATTCATGTCAAACTTGCGTGTTATAGGATACTTGTACGTGTTATAGGGATCACACACTCAGACATCAGACCCACATTCATGTCATTCATAGGGATCACACACTTAGACATCAGACCCACATTCATGTCAAGCTATTTGTACGTGTTATAGGGATCACACTCAGACATCAGACCCACATTCATGTCAAGCTACTTGTACGTGTTATAGGGATCACACATAGACATCAGACCCACATTCATGTCAAGCTACTTGTACGTGTTATAGGGATCAGACATCAGACCCACATTCATGTCAAGCTACTTGTACGTGTTATAGGGATCACACACTGAGCATCAGACCCACATTCATGTCAAGCTACTTGTACGTGTTATAGGGATCACACACTCAGACATCAGACCCACATTCATGTCAAACTACTTGTACGTGTTATAGGGATCACACACTTAGACATCAGACCCACATTCATGTCAAACTACTTGAAATTATATTGAAATCTATATATTATGATTCCTTACATCTTTAAGCGAGTTTTATCCGAAGACCGAAATTAAAAAAGAAATTGATAAGATACATTTTAGACGTGTTCGTTTGATTCTGGCAGGATCGACCTAGAAAATCAGAATGTACTTCTTTGCAAAGTTCAATCAACAGAATGTACCAGGTGAAAAGGAAACGCTTCTCAGCTGATCTCTTTCAGTCGATGTGCCAGCTGCTGCTCCGAGACTGGCTAAATATTTCAAGTTTGTCATATCATGTTGTACTTCCATTTCATTAAGGGTCGGTCGATTCCCACATGGGTACAGTGTGTGAAGCCTGGTTTTGGTGTCCCCCGTCGTAATATTGCAGGAATATTGCAAGAAACGTAAAACAATTCTCACTCGTTCCATTTCATTCCAGAAAGTACGTCACCTGTTTACAGTCAGTCTGTAGCTAAAACACTTACAATAACCAACCTAAACATAATACGACACGCAATGCCTATTCCCGAACACGTTGCCTTACTGTCTCCACTCCCAGCCCCGGATGTAGGTGGTCAGCATGTCGTCCAGGATCTTGTAGTTGACCAGGTCCGACTTACTCAGGTCTGTCTGCGGGATGGCCTCCAGTCGGTTGTGGAAGGACACCATCTGATCCTAAGATGACACAGTAACAACAGCAACATAAGTATACTGTCAGTATACTATACTATATTGGCCATATACTTCGTCGTGACGTGGTTGTATCTAATGCCTTTACTGTCGAAACATGAATTATGAAGACTACTCAATATTTTTCAGGGATATCCTTATACAATATACGCATTGCTGATGACTTTGTATTCGTGCCCTGTATGCCTTGTGTAGTCCAGTCAAGTACTGATATAAGTGAACGTGGTATATAGTTACATGGCATTAGTAAGTATCTAGCCTACCTTTCGTATGTCGAACATAGATATATTGTAGGATTGTATCTTATCGTTGTACTTGTGTATATCCCGGTAGGTGGCGCTCATTGGGCTATCCGCCATCTGCCAGGCAAAGAACTCCGTATGGAGCTTTGCGAGGTCGCGTGATGCATTGCCTGTAACAGAATCCATACTAACACTGACTTATAAAGGTGGAGTAGTATTCTGTAAAACATACATATCACGCTGAAGATCAGATCAATAAACAGTTAGTTAAAACGACCCAGTCTAGCAAAGTTTAGATGTGTTTCAGAAGTTTGATTACAGTCTTTTCTAAAAAAACATATATGTACCCACAAATATTTGAACATTGGTCTTTTGTAACAGTCATATGTGTCATTTGTAACTTCACACGACGAAAAAATAACTGAAACAAGTTCATTGGAGTGCTAGAGTATACGATTAAAACCATAATGGGTGTATATTATACGTGAATCCCTCACCACAACAGGAAGCGACGAGGGCAAACAGACACAGTACGGTGTTCATGCTGGAGAGTCGGTTTCAGGAACACGTGGAACAGGACGACGTACAGGCAGCCTACACACCAAAGAGAAAATCAGCATCTGGACACACGTCTTTCATCAACGTTCACCAGGGTTAACGCAGAGTTTGACCGATTCCATATCTTATCTTCCCGAACAACTTCCTGACAACTTGATGAATGTGTATATCTGACTGATAATGTTGATACGTGTGTAATAATGACTAAATCAGGACAGCCATCGTCCATATATTAACAAAGAACAAAAACTGTGTAGTCAAGACGTGAGACTTAATTGTAATCATTCATATGACGCTAATCATCTTCTTAATCCTGATCACTCCCAGCATTGTACATCGACTTGTCCGCCAACCTGTACCACTCTGTCACTTTCATAAATTACTGTGTATGACATTTATAGCCCTAATTGGTCAATCTCTTGACCGTGTCTGCCATCACATCAATATGTACAAGGCAATGCTATTGTTTCTTTATCTGTCCATTGTTGTCTCTTCGTCTGTCTATTTGTTGTCTCTTCGTCTGTCCATTGTTGTCCCTTCGTCTGTCCCTTGTTGTCTCCTCGTCTGTCCATTGTTGTCTCTTCGTCTGTCTATTTGTTGTCTCTTCGTCTGTCGATTTGTTGTCTCTTCGTCTGTCCATTGTTGTCTCTTCGTCTGTCCATTGTTGTCTCTTCGTCTGTCCCTTGTTGTCTCTTCGTCTGTCCCTTGTTGTCTCTTCGTCTGTCCATTGTTGTCTCTTCGTCTGTCCATTGTTGTCTCTTCGTCTGTCCATTGTTGTCTCTTCGTCTGTCTATTGTTGTCTCTTCGTCTGTCCATTGTTGTCTCTTCGTCTTCCTTTGTTGTCTCTTTCGTCTGTCTATTTGTTGTCTCTTCGTCTGTCCATTGTTGTCTCTTCGTCTGTCCATTGTTGTTCTCTTCGTCTGTCCCTTTTGTTGTCTCTTCGTCTGTCTGTCCATTGTTGTCTCTTCGTCTGTCCATTGTTGTCTCTTCGTCTGTCTATTTGTTGTCTCTTCGTCTGTCCCTTTGTTTGTCTCTTCGTCTGTCCATTGTTGTCTCTTCGTCTGTCCATTGTTGTCTCTTCGTCTGTCCATTGTTGTCTCTTCGTCTGTCTATTGTTGTCTCTTCGTCTGTCCCTTTGTTGTCTCTTCTGTCTGTCCCTTTGTTGTCTCTTCGTCTGTCCATTGTTGTCTCTTCGTCTGTCCCTTTGTTGTCTCTTTCGTCTGTCCATTGTTGTCTCTCTTCGTCTGTCTATTGTTGTCTCTTCGTCTGTCCATTGTTGTCTCTTCGTCTTTCCCTTGTTGTCTCTTCGTCTGTCTATTTGTTGTCTCTTCGTCTGTCCATTGTTGTCTCTTCGTCTGTCCATTGTTGTCTCTTCGTCTGTCCCTTGTTGTCTCTTCGTCTGTCCATTGTTGTCTCTTCGTCTGTCCATTGTTGTCTCTTCGTCTGTCTATTTGTTGTCTCTTCGTCTGTCCCTTTGTTGTCTCTTCGTCTGTCCATTGTTGTCTCTTCGTCTGTCCATTGTTGTCTCTTCGTCTGTCCATTGTTGTCTCTTCGTCTGTCTATTGTTGTCTCTTCGTCTGTCCATTGTTGTCTCTTCGTCTTTCCCTTGTTGTCTCTTCGTCTGTCTATTTGTTGTCTCTTCGTCTGTCCATTGTTGTCTCTTCGTCTGTCCATTGTTGTCTCTTCGTCTGTCCCTTGTTGTCTCTTCGTCTGTCCATTGTTGTCTCTTCGTCTGTCCATTGTTGTCTCTTCGTCTGTCTATTTGTTGTCTCTTCGTCTGTCCCTTGTTGTCTCTTCGTCTGTCCCTTTGTTGTCTCTTCGTCTGTCCCTTGTTGTCTCTTCGTCTGTCCATTGTTGTCTCTTCGTCTGTCCCTTGTTGTCTCTTCGTCTGTCCATTGTTGTCTCTTCGTCTGTCCCTTGTTATCTCTTCGTCTGTCCATTGTTATCTCTTCGTCTGTCCATTGTTATCTATAAGTAGATATTATGTTCATGTCTATATTATCACTCATCCGGTATTGTCCTACGCGAGGATGATTGCGAGTAGTATAATACCACATTCTTGATACATGTATATATCTGACTGACAATGTTGATACATGTAGATATCTGACTGACATTCTATATACATGTATTTATCTGACTGGCAATGTTGATACATGTATATATCTGACTGGCAATGTTGATACATGTAGATATCTGACTGACATTCTTGATACAGGTATTTATCTGACTGGCAATGTTGATACATGTATTTATCTGACTGGCAATGTTGATACATGTATATATCTGACTGGCAATGTTGATACATGTATTTATCTGACTGGCAATGTTGATACATGTATATATCTGAGTGACACTCTTGATACATGTATTTATCTGACTGGCAATGTTGATACATGTATATATGTGACTGACAATGTTGATACATGTATATATCTGACTGACATTCTTGATACATGTATTTATCTGACTGACATTCTTGATACATGTATTTATCTGACTGGCAATGTTGATACATGTATATATCTGACTGACATTCTTGATACATGTATTTATCTGACTAGCAGTGTTGATACATGTATATATCTGACTGGCATTCTTGATACATGTATATATCTGGCTGACATTCTTGATACATGTATATCTGACTGGCAATGTTGATACATGTATATATCTGACTGGCAATGTTGATACATGTATATATCTGACTGGCAATGTTGATACATGTATATATCTGACTGGCAATGTTGATACATGTATATATCTGACTGGCAGTGTTGATACATGTATATATCTGACTGGCAATGTTGATACAGGTATATATCTGACTGACAATGTTGATACATGTATATATATGACTGGCAATGTTGATACATGTATTTATCTGACTGACAGTGTTGATACAGGTATATATCTGACTGATATTCTTGATACCTGTATATGTCTGACTGGCAATGTTGATACATGTATTTATCTGACTGACACTGTTGATACAAGGATATATCTGACTGACATTCTTGATACATGTATATATCTGACTGGCAGTGTTGATACATGTATATATCTGACTGACAATGTTGATACATGTAGATATCTGACTGGCAATGTTGATACATGTATTTATCTGACTGGCAATGTTGATACATGTAGATATCTGAGTGACACTCTTGATACATGTATTTATCTGACTGGCAATGTTGATACATGTATATATGTGACTGACAATGTTGATACATGTATATATCTGACTGACATTCTTGATACATGTATTTATCTGACTGACATTCTTGATACATGTATTTATCTGACTGGCAATGTTGATACATGTATATATCTGACTGACATTCTTGATACATGTATATCTGACTCTGACATGTATATATCTGACTGGCATTCTTGATACATGTATTTATCTGACTGGCATTCTTGATACATGTATTTATCTGACTATATCTATATATCTGACTGACATTCTTGATACATGTATATATCTGAGCAGTGTTGATGGCAATGTTGATACATGATACATGTATATCTGACTGGCAATGTTGATACATGTATATATCTGACTGGCAATGTTGATACATGTATATATCTGACTGGCAATGTTGATACATGTATATATCTGACTGGCAATGTTGATACATGTATATATCTGACTGGCAGTGTTGATACATGTATATATCTGACTGGCAATGTTGATACATGTATATATGATACATGACTGGCAATGTTGATACAGGTATATATCTGACTGACAATGTTGATACATGTATATATATGACTGGCAATGTTGATACATGTATTTATCTGACTGACAGTGTTGATACAGGTATATATCTGATTGATATTCTTGATACCTGTATATGTCTGACTGGCAATGTTGATACATGTATTTATCTGACTGACACTGTTGATACAAGGATATATCTGACTGACATTCTTGATACATGTATATATCTGACTGGCAGTGTTGATACATGTATATATCTGACTGACAATGTTGATACATGTAGATATCTGAGTGACACTCTTGATACATGTATTTATCTGACTGGCAATGTTGATACATGTATATATGTGACTGACAATGTTGATACATGTATTTATCTGACTAGCAGTGTTGATACATGTATATATCTGACTGGCATTCTTGATACATGTATATATCTGGCTGACATTCTTGATACATGTATTTATCTGACTGGCAATGTTGATACATGTATATATCTGACTGACATTCTTGATACATGTATTTATCTGACTAGCAGTGTTGATACATGTATATATCTGACTGGCATTCTTGATACATGTATATATCTGGCTGACATTCTTGATACATGTATATCTGACTGGCAATGTTGATACATGTATATATCTGACTGGCAATGTTGATACATGTATATATCTGACTGGCAATGTTGATACATGTATATATCTGACTGGCAATGTTGATACATGTATATATCTGACTGGCAGTGTTGATACATGTATATATCTGACTGGCATTCTTGATACATGTATGTATCTGACTGGCAATGTTGATACATGTATATATCTGACTGGCAATGTTGATACAGGTATATATCTGACTGACAATGTTGATACATGTATATATATGACTGGCAATGTTGATACATGTATTTATCTGACTGACAGTGTTGATACAGGTATATATCTGACTGATATTCTTGATACATGTATATGTCTGACTGACAATGTTGATACATGTATTTATCTGACTGACACTGTTGATACAAGGATATATCTGACTGACATTCTTGATACATGTATATATCTGACTGGCAGTGTTGATACATGTATTTATCTGATATGATATGTATATATCTGACTGGCAATGTTGATACATGTAGATATCTGACTGACATTCTTGATACATGTATATATCTGACTGACAATGTTGATACATGTAGATATCTCACTGGCAATGTTGATACATGTAGATATCTGACTGACATTCTTGATACATGTATTTATCTGACTGGCAATGTTGATACATGTATATATCTGACTGGCAATGTTGATACATGTAGATATCTGACTGACATTCTTGATACATGTATATATCTGACTGGCAATGTTGATACATGTATTTATCTGACTGGCAATGTTGATACATGTAGATATCTGACTGACATTCTTGATACATGTATATATCTGACTGGCAATGTTGATACAGGTATATTTGCTGATGCATGTTTACGCCGGAACGTCGCATCTGCCGCAGTAAATAAATTGTCTATCCATACAAGCTGTTTCTCTTCTTCGATGCAAGTATATCGTTAACTCCATTCCATTCAGAGGAATCAAGCATATTTTATATACATTTCCAGTATAGGTTTAGTAACTTATATGTTGTTTTCTCCGTCACTTTCAGAGGAATCAAGAATGTTAATTATATAAATGTCCATTATCACTTTAATACCTTGAATTGTGTGTGTGTGATACCATTTCTACAGTTTTTTCCAATGAAATACGGGCCAGAATACCTCGGGGACATCTATAAATCAGACTGTTCAAACACTTAACCCTCTATAACTATTTCCAAGAAAGGAACTACATGTGTCAGACGGACTACTCGGTTGATCATAAAAATCAGCTTGACCCCATTCATAAAAGTTTAAATTTGGGTCTGAATGTAAGGCTCCACTTTGCAAACCTTTCTCCGCCATATATCCCGAGTGGACAATGTGGTTGTTGCGAAAGAGGCTTCGCTTTCGTGACAGGCATGTGCACCTGGTAAGTTACGACGCATTGTAAGTGCTTTTGAACATAAATCCTGCTTTAAGAAAGCTGATGCTGCCTAGTGCGCAGTTTCTCATGGTCTTGACCCTTGATCTATTACCACAAGTTGTTGCATTGCTGTTGTCGAGAAAACGTTCTCGGAGTAAGATAGTACACAAGGGCAACCAGGAGGTAAATGAAAGTTCTACCCATGAAAAGTTTAGGCTCTTAAAGCACTCACTATATGTCATGTATATGCATATGTTTCTCCACTAACTTGGGGAACCAACTGCAAAACTTATGCAGATGAATTGCAGGATCATGCATCACACTGCTGAAAAGCAAGTGCAAACATCGTACAGATGCGTTCTGGTGTAAAGTTTTGGTACGAAATCGCCAATGTTTACTGAGTTTCATCATTTATTGAACTCATGACAATAATCTTTTCAACGTAACGAATTCGTTTTACAATACACCAGTTTATGTGTAAACAGTACCTGTAAACAGTATGGGATATTTTGCAAAATCTATTTTAGAACATTTGACTGAAGTAAGTGGCCACATTTACACTAGTGAGTCTAAACTTTTGATTGGTAGTGTATGTTCATGTTTCACGAGAGTAAATTAATATCTGAGCCTCATGTGTTGGGAAGTTGTAGTAATCCCGTGGCTGTTCAAAACGATTTCCGAAGCTCTTGTGACTACATCGTTAGAGTCGGTTTGGTGCGAGAAAGAATTTTGGTGTTATGGCCATTTGTCTGCTTCATTACTGATTACTTCCTCAGTGATTGTTTCTTAAGTCTATTTTTCAGACTTATCCAAGAGTAGCAGCTTGCTCAGCTGACTCGGGTTTATTGTGGACATACCTTGATGAAGTCATGTAATCCAAACGATATTCACTTCTGTGTTAGACTCAGACATGATTAGCCATGACAACCAATGCCTTTTGATTGTGATGTCATGGCATCAAGCAATGCCGTCATAGTTGGATGTGATGACGTCATCAATCATGCCGGTACTGTGTCATGGAATGACGTCATCAAGCAGTACAAAACGTGATTGCACTACCAGAAAAGGTTCACATGCTGCCCAGGGAACTTTGGTTTTTGTTGTTTATTTCACACTTACATTTGAATATAATATTTACACAATCTATATATGTAAATTTGCAGTGTGAATGGCAGTTTGAAGTGATATCGTGATAGCACCCACACAAATGGACGAACACAAAAGCCGGTGACAATAAAAGCCATAACTGTATAGACAAAACGGAGCACACGAACACAGACTTACACACTACTACAATATTCAAAAGTACTGGCAGTCAAATATGCTGATCACAGGTACAATTTCATAAATGCCTCGTCATAATTGTTTTCTATTTTTCAATAATTTAGTAAATTGTTAATTTTATTGGAAAGGCCAGGACAATAATTCTTGATAATCCGTAAGATGATTGGCACTATTCAATTGTTCACATCGGTTTGAATCACAGTGAAAACCATTACATCTCAGTTATGATGAACATAATCGTTAACAGTTTCTGTAGAGTAACATTCCTTGCTGTCATGGAACGTCTCTGGGTAGCATGGAGATTTGCATATTTTAAATTACATTGACAAGAACTGTATGTACATCACCTATAACACTGTAGTAAGACACCCTGAAGCACTAGGCGAGATACATCCACCCACAGTGGTAGGTGGGACTCTTAACAATCACAATATGACATAACCTTCGTGAAAACGAGCCCAGCATGATCCAATATAAATGCAACAATATTTACTTGTAATCGATCAGACACATTTGAAAGGCTAGTCAATTTTCAAAGAGTAGTTTTGCGATGGAGTAATTTAATATGCATCTAGCTTTCTACTGAATTCTACTGAACATTTCTCTCCTAAATGCGCTTCGTGATGTTGACTGTTATTGGTATGAATATTTAATCAAATTTAAACAAGAATGTCTATACTTATGTATTATATATCTACTCCCTTTACCATAGCTATTTCATTATGTTTGCAGTGGAAACGTAGCGATGAATTTCACTTTAAACAAAAAAGTAAATCACATAAATTGAAATTAAGATTGCGAATCCTCATGATTTTACCTTGCCAATTGAACATTAAAATCTCAGAATTTTATTCAACTTAGGACAAAAGTTATTTAACAAACGATCAAAGTTTCAAATCACTATTATTGGTATGTATTACAAGGGGGTATGCACATTAAATGAAACCCCGAGAACAACAAGGGTTGGTTTCTACGGTAGTCTAAGTTAACACTCATCACGGACCGCACGTACATTTGTTTCACCTTTCCAACTACTATGCGTACCCCCTTGTAATACAAACCAATAATACCGATTTGAAACTTTGATCATTTGTTAAACAACTTTTATCATAAGTTGAATAAATTTCTGAGATTTACAAGTTCAATTGGCAAGGTAAAATCATAAGGATTCGCAATCTTAATTTCACCTCATGTGATTTACTTTTTTGTTTAAAGTGAAATTCATCGGTACGTTTTCACTGCAAACAGATTATAAGTGTGTACGTATCCTCATGGCAGTAAATGTAACCTACCTGTTGCTCAAAGACCAGTCCGAATGATAATGCGCGTCACTGCAGTCGCCTTATAGCATGTTGAGTATTTTATGGTCTATTGTTGTTAGAAGTGGGATCAAAGTCGGACAGATTTCACAAGGTTGAGTCGTGGCTGTTCGAGTACCGTGAGACCACACCCAGCTGGGTCTTGTAACGGGGGATGGAGCTACGGATCATCCGTCAGCCCGTGTATTGTCTTGTTGGTTGCTGGGTATAGTGTCCGGGACTATAGCAGGATTGAGTAAGTATGTGTCATCACACACGTTAGGTCACGACAAGGTCACGGTTAGCTGCGTCACGGACACAGTGTTGAAACTGCCGCAAGCAATGGGTGTGCCAGATACCTCGACGTCGACCTTGACGGGCGATGGTGGTTGTCAGCGGTTGTTTCGCTGTTTTCAACTACACGCTGGGTTCAAACCTTTACATACAAGTTGATAGATCGAAAAATAAGTTTCTGTGAGTGTGCGTTTAAGCGATTCTCCGACCTGACAAAAAGGACAATTTTGACAGATACGGTATGCTGTTACACAACTACAGACTGTGTGGCAGGGGTGTCTGGTTATGTTACACAACTACAGACTGTGTGGCAGGGGTGTCTGGTTATGTTACACAACTACAGACTGTGTGGCAGGGGTGTCTGGTTATGTTACAGAACTGCTGAAGATGTGACAGGTTCCAAGACTGGACACATGATGAAACATTTAAGATTTTGCTCTGTTTGTATAGCGGATATCATCTGTTATTTATATGTGATGTGTATGTCGACTTAAGAAAGGAGTATATTCCACAGAAATATTTGGGTCCCCCTACCAGGGAAACACTTGTAAGAATTTTATCGTCAACAGACGAAACTGTTCATGTAAAATTAAACCTTTTTTAACACAATCGCTGACATTAAGGAACAGTCTGATTTCTTCTGGCAACGAATTTTACATTGCTTTCCACTATTTGCACTGTCCATACTTCGTCTGTCACTAACACTATACATACGGGCCGGAGGCCGTATGTACAATATAAAATTTGATCTTGATCTTGAATACAGGTCACTGATGAATCGAGATTGTGTCTAGCATACATTGTAGTCGAGCCCAAGTGTGAGGAAGACAAGCACAAAGATTTCCGGATTTCACACTAGCACTGTTGAGCACCAACTAACATGACGCCACTGACGACATCGCAGATACAAAACTGAGAAAGGTCTACAGCGACAGTGACGTTCAATTCATACTAACTTTTGTGTCTTAGATCCAATTTATATTTCTCTTGTCATTTTCTCGATGGCAGTAGGGAATGAAATCGGCAGCGTTTCATTTTATATTATTTTATACTATTTATAATGCTATCCTTGGTTCAATACACAAAAAAGAAAACGTATTTTATAAGATCCCTTAGATATCATTGAATTGGAAATTCCTGTAAATCCAGCAGACATCAGACCAAGGTAATGCATGGGCCATGATTGTTTTATATTACAAAGACATATTCATATTTGAGCAAATCATGGCAAAACGTATGGTTGGTGAGTTTTTTAATTAGTAACAGATGATAAACCAAGGTACACGACCGCTAATTTTGATATATCATGGGCGGAGGATGTTCCCTTGCAGGCGCCCTTTTGTGCGTCAGCAGGTTCTGTGTTATGTGTGTTTCTCTGAAATAATTCTTAGGTAATTCGAAAGTAACAATTACAAAGATCACTTCAAAATTATTTATTCTCCTAAACAAGGTCAGAAACTACAGGCTGTACAACTTAGTAATCTGTATAATAGTATATCTCAAAGGAACATATGTGTTCGGCGCTTATATTTGCACGTTAGATGCGCCATCTGGTCTACCTCAGCACTCAGGTCATACAATAATGTACACAATGTCATGATGACCGCTAATATAGCCCGCTCACTGTAACTGCCGCCAGTATTACCATAACGACCCACACGCGTCGCACCATAACCTGCGTTCCTCCACATGTTGGGGTGACCGGTCTGGGAGTAGTCACGGGGTACGTGTCCAGCCAATCAGTGACCAGGTCCTCCAGCACGTTCAGGGGCACAGTTCCGCTCTCGAGCACCACAGAGTGAAACTCACGGATGTCAAACTTGTCGCCTGGGTTAAATAGAGTTATAATTCGACGAACAGATCACATTTCAGCCAAACTATAAACAAAAATCAAACATGAAATTTACATGATACCACAGTTCTCAGATACATCTCAGGGAGTTCAGTGCACTGAATGTGCCCTGTTTACATTGTGTTTACATTACATTACCCACACAAAATAGTCCTTTATCTATAATCCTAGGGCAAACATCCCTCCGATGCTGGCTACACTTGATTCAACATCAACTACCAAACATACTACAATGGTTGCTGTAGTGAAATCAAATAGGTAAGACCGAAACAGATTCGTTTGGATAAAAAGGATGAAAAAGAGGAATGGATCACTTTAAAGCAATGTTGATAACATGACCCTCCTGTGCCGGTAGCAGTCGCCACAATTTACATAACAAAAGTATTTCTGTCGCCTGACGCAACAAACTACACGCCCACTAAGCAATCGAATCTTGACAAGACAGTCCCAGTTTATAGTCAAGTGAGGTGTTCCGTTTCCTTACAAAGATTACCTCACAACTTGTGTCTTTATAGTTCCCAAGAGTTTCTTGACATTGTACCACTGTTGTTGTTGGTGTAGCAGGGGTATCTGATATTATCTTGCCTCACACATAAATGTTGTTTTCTGATTGGGTGAGCGCTCTTCTATTATTTTCAATGTACCCCGCTTACAAGCTAGTAAAATTTTCTATGTACCCGTCTGGAAATGCCGAACTCATTTGGTACTTCGTAATAGTAATTCTTTATCTCGAATAACATTGAATCACCTATGATGTACGGAAATTACCGATGTCTTGCGAATGCAGATCGATTGAAGGGAGATAACTCTAAATGTTTTTTCTTGTCGTCTTATACTGAACACTGTGATGCGATACCCATGCTTCAAACAGTTCAAAATTACCATTGAGGTGTTAATTGATAAATTGATAAATACGTTGTTCACGGGTCCCTCGGGGCCCACGGGTTGTTGTACCCTCGATGTTTGTTTATGTTCCCCTCGCCCTTCGGGTTCTGGGAACATAAACAAACATCGAGGGTACATCAGCCCATGGCCCCCTCGAGACCGGTGAACAACTTATAATGTTATACTACAGTGGTTCTGACAGGGGTATCTGATACTGGTGGATAACTTCAGAGGATGTGGCAGACGACAGAGGCAACTAAACTCACTTCAACAGGTTTGAGTGAGTGAGTGAGTTGGGTTTTATGCCGCTTTTAGCAGTTATGCCGCTTCAGCAATATCACGGCGGGGCACACAAGAAATGGGCTTCAGACACTGAACTCATGTGGGGAATCGAACCTTGGCCTTCAGCGTGAACGCTTTAACCACTAGGCTACCCTAACGCCCCTTAACACGTTTGATATGACACAGGGATTAAGGTAATTTTACAGAGAACGTGAAATGATAGTCTTTCGCAGATATGGCCATCTACGTCACTATGACAAGGTGTCAAGTGTTATTTCAGGGGACACGACATTGATGTAGTATACTACGTAGATGTTGAGTGTGCTCCACACTCTGTACCCGGCACAATCAGACAAGGCGTCATCTGGAGACTCACCTAGCGTCTTCTCCGCCTTCCGTCGCAGCTCCCAAATCTTGATCTCCCCGATCTTGTAGGCCAGAGCTTGACCAGGCCACGTGATGTAGCGGTCAATCTCGATGATGATGTTGTCCAGTGATTCTGCGGTGTAGTTGCGAAGGTACTGGATGGCCTCATCGCGGGACCAGCTGCAGACACATTCCATCAATAAATAGAAATAGAATACATACAATAGCGATAGAACGGATGAGAAAAGCAAGCTTTATGTATGTCAACTTCTTTATTGTGATGAAGGAGCAAGCATACACTCCGAAACGTCGTGTTATTCACAATAAACAAGTTGACGTCCATACATCCTGCTTCCCTTATGTATTCCACTTCTAAATGCCCTTCAAAGAGTTGATAGAACGGATGCTGTTTAGTTAACAAATGGTAGTTACTCAGCTCAACTATGCTTGGCTGCTATTCCTACGAAGAACTTAAAGTGTTTTAATCGTTGCTCCCTACTTCAGTGCATGCATCCCTGTGTCCACAACCAGTCGACATGCGCGTAGAATCTCGAAACTGTAGCGACCCATTCTGAAATTGAACACTTACTCATGTATTCTTTCAATATTGGACATCATCAATACCATTACAACACTTCATCTTTAAGTATTATATCAGATGTATTATTCAAAGTGAACATTGCTCATTGTACCTGAAATACATGTAATATGTTAGTTGTTTTGCCAAGTTTCTGCTACTTAAGTCTTACTGTCCAGATACCCCACCCTACTGTGTACTCACAGCTACAATACAACCCATCAATGTCTTACTGTCCAGATACCCCACCCTACTGTGTACTCACAGTTACAATACAACCCATCAATGTCTTACTGTCCAGATACCCCACCCTACTGTGTACTCACAGTGTCAATACAACCCATCAATGTCTTACTGTCCAGATACCCCACCCTACTGTGTACTCACAGTTCGTAGTCGTCTCGATACACACCCAGCTCCTCACCCAGCGACTCGGCATACAGGCCCCACCCCTAGGTAACAACAAGCAGATTCGGGTATATAGTCAGTTACACAAAACAAGTCTTTGCCATGACTTTATCGGAAGTTTAGTGTTTTCTAAACAAGTCTGAATTCATTTCTCTCAAATACAAATGTGGGGTGTGAAGCATCAGAAATAGACCAGGTTACGGGTGGAAGCATGATGACATGACGTCACTGACCGAGCCTCAACCTGACATATGGATCTTAACAAACAGGATGTTGTCTTACATGAACATCAGACAGAAAGGCGTGAAACTAAACTACAATTCGGACTACAAATTAGTAATACCCCACTGTGTTACACTACAGCTCAGAAATACCCAATTGTGTTACACTACAGCTCAGCAGTTACCCCACTGTGTTACACTACAGCTCAGAAATACCCGATTGTGTTACACTACTACTCAGCAGCTACCCCACTGTGTTACACTACAGCTCAGAAATACCCGATTGTGTTACACTACAACCCAGTAATACCCAACTGTATTACACTACAGCTCAGCAGTTACCCCACTGTGTTGCGCTACAGCTCAGAAATACCCGATTGTGTTACACTACTACTCAGCAGCTACCCCACTGTGTTACACTACAGCTCAGAAATACCCGATTGTGTTACACTACAACCCAGTAATACCCAACTGTATTACACTACAGCTCAGCAGTTACCCCACTGTGTTGCACTACAGCTCAGAAATACCCGATTGTGTTACACTACAACCCAGTAATACCCCACTGTATTACACTACTACTCAGCAGTTACCCCACTGTATTACACTACAGCTCAGAAATACCCGATTGTGTAACACTACAACCCAGTAATACCCCACTGTGTTACACTACAGCTCAGAAATACCCGATTGTGTAACACTACAACCCAGTAATACCCCACTGTGTTACACTACAGCTCAGAAATACCCGATTGTGTTACACTACAACCAAGTAATACCCCACTGTGTTACACTACTACTCAGCAGTTACCCCACTGTGTTACACTACAACCCATCAATGTGGACCCTACAGTTACACTACAACCCATCAATGTAGACCCTACAGTTACACTACAACCCATCAATGTGGACCCTACAGTTACACTACAACCCATCAATGTAGACCCTACAGTTACACTACAACCCATCAATGTAGACCCTACAGTTACACTACAACCCATCAATGTGGACCCTACAGTTACACTACAACCCATCAATGTGGACCCTACAGTTACACTACAACCCATCAATGTAGACCCTACAGTTACACTACAACCCATCAATGTGGACCCTACAGTTACACTACAACCCATCAATGTGGACCCTACAGTTACACTACAACCCATCAATGTGGACCCTACAGTTACACTACAACCCATCAATGTGGACCCTACAGTTACACTACAACCCATCAATGTAGACCCTACAGTTACACTACAACCCATCAATGTGGATGTGGTTACCTACAACCCACTACAACCCATCAATAGACCCTACAGACCCTACAGTACACTACACTACCTACAACCCATCAATGTAGACCCTACAGTTACACTACAACCCATCAATGTGGACCCTACAGTTACACTACAACCCATCAATGTAGACCCTACAGTTACACTACAACCCATCAATGTAGACCCTACAGTTACACTACAACCCATCAATGTGGACGCTACAGTTACACTACAACCCATCAATGTAGACCCTACAGTTACACTACAACCGATCAATGTGGACCCTACAGTTACACTACAACCCATCAATGTAGACCCTACAGTTACAGGAAGTTACAGCGACGTTCACTAATAACGCCCCACGCGTCATGACGCAAGCCGCAAGCTCCAAACGTATTTACTCATGAGAGCACTAACTGTGAGATAGGAGGGGAATTTTGTGTTGACATTAAGCCTCTGCTACCCTTCGCCATTGTGAGACGGCTGCTGTTTACATGTTTCATATACAATCGTTCTCCATATTTCAGTCACTGAGGCGTGTCCCTAGACGACGCGTGGTAATGCACATCTTATCTCAACTGTATGACCTAGTAGAGGTGCACCTGTGGTTGCACAAACACTTCAATGTGGGTTTTTTTCGACATAATATACGTATCAGCTCACGTTTCAAGTATTCGACGGACAATATCCTACTCCTATGCAACATGGGGAGTTTCCAAGAAATAAACAGGATTACTTAAAGAAGAAATAAACCATTTGATGACTTGAAGGCACGAACGGAGTATCCAGACCCTTCAAAATAACACGTGTCACTAAAACTCTTCTCCACATTGTGCGAATCACCAGCACAAACTAACGCCTTCTCAGAATATATCATCAGAGCTACCGCTATTGCTCAGTTACCAAAACTAACGCCAGAAGATGTATTACCAACCCTAACCCCCACATCGGATGTATCATCAGAACTAACCCCCACAGAAGATGTATCACCATACTTAACCCCCACAGAAGATGTATCACCACACCTAACCCCCACAGAAGATGTATCACCGTACCTAACCCCACATAGGATGGATCACCAGAACTAACGCCCACAGAAGATGTATCACCATACCTAACCCCACAGAGGATGTTTCACCAGAACTAACGCCCACAGACGATGTATCACCAGAATTAAGCCCCAGAGAAGATGTATCACCTGAACTAACCCCACAGAAGATGTGTCACCATAGCTAACCCTCACTGAAGGTGTATCACCAGAACTAATCCCCACAGAAGATGTATCACCAGCACTAACCCTCACAGAAGATGTATCACCAGAGAAACAGCTGTCACTGAAGATGTATTACCAGAACTAACCCAGACAGAAGATGTATCACCAGCACTAACCCCCACAGAAGATGTATCACCAGAGAAACAGCTGTCAATGAAGATGTATTACCAGAACTAACCCAGACAGAAGATGTATCACCAGAACTAACCCTCACTGAAGATGTATCACCAGCACTAACCCCCACAGAAGATATATCACCAGCACTAACCCCCACAGAAGATGTATCACCAGAACTAATCCCCACAGAAGATGTATCACCAGCACTAACCCCCACAGAAGATGTGTCACCATAGCTAACCCTCACTGAAGGTGTATCACCAGAACTAATCCCCACAGAAGATGTATCACCAGCACTAACCCTCACAGAAGATGTATCACCAGAGAAACAGCTGTCACTGAAGATGTATTACCAGAACTAACCCAGACAGAAGATGTATCACCAGCACTAACCCCCACAGAAGATGTATCACCAGAGAAACAGCTGTCAATGAAGATGTATTACCAGAACTAACCCCCACAGAAGATGTATCACCAGAACTAATCCCCACAGAAGATGTATCACCAGCACTAATCAACACAGAAGATATATCACCAGCACTAATCCCCACAGAAGATGTATGACCAGCACTAATCCCCACAGAAGATGTATCACCAGCACTAATCCCCACAGAAGATGTATCACCAGCACTAACCCCCACAGAAGATGTATCACCAGAACTAACCCCCACAGAAGATGTATCACCAGAACTAACCCTCACTGAAGATGTATCACCAGCACTAACCCCCACAGAAGATATATCACCAGCACTAACCCCCACAGAAGATGTATCACCAGAACTAATCCCCACAGAAGATGTATCACCAGCACTAACCACCACAGAAGATGTGTCACCATAGCTAACCCTCACTGAAGGTGTATCACCAGAACTAATCCCCACAGAAGATGTATCACCAGCACTAACCCTCACAGAAGATGTATCACCAGAGAAACAGCTGTCACTGAAGATGTATCACCAGAACTAATCCCCACAGAAGATGTATCACCAGCACTAACCCCCACAGAAGATGTATCACCAGAGAAACAGCTGTCAGATACCAGAACTATCCCCCACAGAAGATGTATCACCAGAACTAACCCCCACAGAAGATGTATCACCAGAACTAATCCCCACAGAAGATGTATCACCAGCACTAATCCCCACAGAAGATGTATCACCAGCACTAATCCCCACAGAAGATGTATGACCAGCACTAATCCCCACAGAAGATGTATCACCAGCACTAATCCCCACAGAAGATGTATCACCAGCACTAATCCCCACAGAAGATGTATCACCAGCACTAATCCCCACAGAAGATGTATCACCAGAACTAATCCCCACAGAAGATGTATCACCAGAACTAATCCCCACAGAAGATGTATCACCAGCACTAATCCCCACAGACGATATATCACCAGCACTAACCCCCACAGAAGATATATCACCAGAACTAACCCCCACAGAAGATGTATCACCAGAACTAACCCCCACAGAAGATGTATCACCAGCGCTAACCCTCACAGAAGATGTATCACCAGCACTAACCCTCACAGAAGATGTATCACCAACACTAACCCCCACAGAAGATGTATCACCAGAACTAGCTCTTACTGTTCATATGTCACCAGAACGCATAGTAACATAGGACACATCATCTGGACTCACCTCTAAGTAGGCTGAGTAATCGGGGAAGGCAAAAGGAGGTCGAAAAAGGTCGTTGTACTCCATCTTCTTTCGGAAGTTGGGTGTGTTGGCAGTGATAGAGTAACTCAGCTGTAACAACATTCACAGTCATGTGAAGTCTGTTGAGCCTATTGTTCTTAGACGGAGTCAGTTACTAAAATTAAACTAATGGATTATTGTTGCATAAAGAAATGCTAGACTACAGCAACGAAAGACATCCAGACTATGTCCTGGCACACGTATCACCTGTAGATGATGTCCGGGGTTAGCTTCATGGAGTGTCAATACCATAGTGGTGAAGTTCACACTGAAATGGGGAAATATTCACAGTAACTTTGGTTAAACAACAAAACCTGCAATGAAGCATCCATATTCGGTTTACTGTAAGTTACAAACATCGTTAATGCCTCTTTCCTATATGTCCGGCTTCACTAAGTAGTCTCAGGTCAGCTTGAACACTTACGTCTTATTTGGCCTGAAGACGTTGGCCCAGAATATTCCTGGCCTTGAGCCGTCTGCAGCACCGGTCGAGTACATCCCTACAGGGCCATCGTAGGACAGTGGTCGTACCCTGTAGACAACAGGTATATACATGTATATATGTATCTGTGAAAGATGAAGAAGATACATGTAACAACGAATATACTCACACGATAGGTAGATCTGGCATATTAACGAACATCGTTGGAAGCGTCTTCTGTATGATGTCATGAATCTGATGGCGATACTCCGTTAAGATGTCACTCTGAACACAAAAACAATAGCTGACAGAAAACGTTTTGCATGTACGGACTTTCGTGTACTTGCATCAACAGATGTGTGTAAGATTTAACGGCGCTTCAAATTAGGCTTTCAAGCGTCGGGTTGAAACAACACATGATATCATCGAAACCAAGTGCTCACAAACCAATGATGGTATTGTTGACCATACTCTGCCAGGCACAACCACCTTCACCAACACCACCACTACTTCACTCACTTGCACTCACTCACGCACGCACGCACGCACACACACACGCACACACATCTGTGACCCCTACATCAGCTACATATAAACAGGTCGAATGCGGTAATGACAAAGCCCAGCAGTGGATTCAGAAGACCAAACCTGACAACCTTCATATAGCACTACATACAAATTGGTATGTGTAATGTTCTGACAACCTTCATATAGCACTACATACAAATTGGTATGTGTAATGTTCTGACAACCTTCATATAGCACTACATACAAATTGGTATGTGTAATGTTCTGACAACCTTCATATAGCACTACATACAAATTTGTATGTGTAATGTTCTGACAACCTTCATATAGCACTACATACAAATTGGTATGTGTAATGTTCTGAAGCAGGTCAGAACATATGGTTTTCGTGAGATGTTATACAGTTTGCAACCTACTGCAGATTTAAAGGTGAAACTCGGGTCTGTCGTAAGCATTTGGAAGTACTCGCTAACACTGCCGCTAAAACTCAGTTTCGTCATAATCTGAAAACGCAAAAAAATCACAATGTTATGATGGGCGCTAATTTTCTATATGACAGTTTAGAACACTGAAACAAACGTCTATAACAATTGTCTATTATTGATTGAACGCCTTGCAAATAATAAAGCGCATCCTGATATCCAAAAATATCGTATGATCATTTACTATTTCTTGCAAAGAATGTTGGCTGTTTTGCATGACGCTCTTTGTGGTGAATAGTCATGCACCTTCTGCATGTTGCCGACGATCCTGTCCACCTCACGGAGGCCGATGTCGTGGACCTCTTGTGCCGTCATGTCGACGGAGAGATACCACCTGATGCAAGCCTCATAGAACTCCCGTCCTCCATCCAGAGAGCTGATGCCGATATCGGGGCGGGTGTTGGGCATATACTCCTGTAAAACATCCCAAGGTGCTCGGTAAATCATGTGTTTTTGGAATCTCTATTACATCTCGACGGTTTCTGACAAATAGTCTTTGCGTAGCGTGATATATAGGTGTGAATAAGGTGAGAAGATGATTCCCCTAGTTACCTGTTGGATGAAATGTGACAAGTTCATGTATGCTTGTACGGCGAGCTCGACCGCTGCACTCCCACGTTGTCTCAGCCCCTCTCTAACAGACACACAAACACATTACATTGACAGTAACGACTGTTAATGAACCTTTATACCAGTTCAAACATATCAAGGCCTGAAGACCATCTGAAAACGAATGTGTTATTTATCTACATGCTGGACCATATTATCAGTATGAAAGCAACTAATGTATGTATTTAGGCTGGCGTAATGGTCCTCTACATCTGGTATGTTACGATGGTTGAGGTATAGAAGTTACTCACCTATCACCTTCAGGTACAGTGGATTTAGATAGAGTGTTGTTAAAAGGCAGGTAGAGAACAGATTGGGTCGGGTCACTGACATTCAGCTTGTCGAATTGTCCTTTAAGACGATTCTAAGAAAACAATTACATGTTGTTTAGGTTGTGAGATGATTGCTTTTTATCAAAACACATGGATTGAAAATTGGCATAACTACAGACAATTATGGCCGTGTGTTCGTGGCTATCGGATGAGACTATAGGTCAACCAACTAAAACTATCCTTGTTCTGTACTGTACTGTACTGTATTTTATCGTATTCTATTATAAAATGTCGAACGTTGAACATACCATAGAGACAAGGTGGTTCGTGCGATTGAGCTGGATGGCCTTTCTCATCAGGGTTATATGCTGAGACATCTGCAGCAGTAAAACAAGAACATTAGAGTCAGTCTTCCCTGCTCGATGTGTTATGATACCAATGCCCAACTTGCAGAGTTTGTAAATGTGTTACATTGATGTGTTATGATACCAATGCCCAACTTGCAGAGATTGTAAATGTGTTACATTAGAGTCAGTCTTCCCTGCTCGATGTGTTATGATACCAATGCCCAACTTGCAGAGATTGTAAATATGTTACATTAGAGTCAGTCCTCCCCTGCTCGATGTGTTATGATACCAATGCCCAACTTGCAGAGATTGTAAATATGTTACATTAGAGTCAGTCTTCCCTGCTAGATGTGCTATGATACCAATGCCCAACTTGCAGAGATTGTAAATGTGTTACATTAGAGTCAGTCTTCCCTGCTCGATGTGTTATGATACCAATGCCCAACTTGCAGAGATTGTAAATATGTTACATTAGAGTCAGTCTTCCCTGCTCGATGTGCTATGATACCAATGCCCAACTTGCAGAAATGTGTCACTGTAACTTACCTTCTCCGGCATCTTCTGTAGGCGCACGATGTAGTTCTCAAAGTCTCCCCGCGTTGAAAACGGTAGGTTTTCTGCATTGTAGGAAGCATCTTGTTGCGGCCCCTCGAGGAAGTTGACCGGTGTAAGGTACTGGTACCTGGGTGATAAGGCAGGGGGTTTGACGCAGGGACCTACGTAGTCATGAAACAGGGACACTGACACATTGGGTATATGACACATCAATGTATCAGTTCTCATTCCTTAAAGCACTCAGACAACGCTCTAACGTTATGATGGTCGAACTATTAAATTGCATCCCACATAGGAATTTGATTGTGTAGTATTACCGAATTAGATTTTATTGAAAAAATAATTCCATGATCCCTCAACGCGAACTTCGTGCTGATAAAAACCTGTTGGAACAGAAGATGTAAGTAACCTCCTGTGTTGGCCTTGACAGCTAGACAACGTCTTCTCATAGACAGGAGAACCTGTCTGAACACTCAGACATTGATCATCAACATTGGTTTTGTCTGGGGATTGATTTATCTGCTGCCGGACTCGCCTTGTGTTCGATCAGGTTCAATTCTGGTGAACGGGAAGGATAGTCCATAGCATTGACACAGCCGTTACGTACGACGTTGTGCATATGAGCTGCAGTATGAGGCGTTAAGTTGCCTTGTCCTGTTGAAGTAACATCATAGGACTATACCGCTGCGTGAATGGCAGAGGGTTAAAACTTGGTCCCGATAATGCATGGCGGTAAGATTCCCCTGGATGACAATCAATTGGAACTGGCTACTGGCACAAGACACACGAACACAACACCGTGCGTGATGTTTACCCCTCTTGAGCTAGCCAGTGGCCATGGCAAAGCGCAATGTGAAGTGTGACTCGTCACTGAAGACAAACCTATTCCACTGCCTCTGGATGAATCCAGGTCTTGTCGATGTGGAACGGTGCCGTTCGTTGCACACGGGCCCTTAGAGCCATCGCCTACGCAACTGACCGATTGTCGTCCAACATTAAGCCAAGCCATGCATGCTCACGTTGCTGATTTGTGAGTCGCGGCATACTCGTTATGTTAAACTTGCAATTTGGATGCGTTTTCCTGTTTAGCATTGCTCACGTGAAAATTCCCACCTCACAATTGCAACCAATAACGTAGGTGTCAAGTTTCTAATTTTGTTGAGTATAATTAAACATATATAGTTATGTGATAATTATGATATTCATATTGTGCCAACCTAACTTTAATAATAAAATAGCAATAGAATAGAACTGGGACGTTTTTACATGCGGGGAGTTACGTCACGTTTTGTGGTACTATCAGAATACTTAAAGCATCCCATGACAGGTACTGACATTCTCCACGGGTAGCCGGCAATGTAGGTGGAGAGCATGTCGTCCAGGATGCGGTAGTTGGTCATGTCGGACTTCTTCAGATCGGCTGCTGTAATGTTCTTCAATCTGGCGTATAGTTCATCGGCCCTGCTCTGTAGAAAACTTGCAATTTAGCATAATGTTACTGTATTGTTCTTCAGTAGTATAGACAATGGGGTACGGTAACCCCACCATTATCACTCCAATTCGGCTCCTACATCCTCCACTGAAACAAGGTACATTTGGTGGAACATCATTTGATGTCATTCACACACACACACATATATATATGGGGCTGATGTTAAACGGACACAAGTATTAAGCAGTTATAGACAAAATTAACTAGAGCCTACGGGGATAATGGGAAGGTAAAGTAGCAATACAAAACTACAACGGCTAAGGTATCTGATGACGTTGCTAAAGATCAGTTAGGAACACGCAATGTGGTGAGTATACTTACCAGCTCCACGTTATATACTGAAAAAAAGGGCTTATAGATCCACACCTAATGGAGTAGATCAGCCAACCGTATATGCGATATAAGTGAAAGGTCCCTATATAGGACTACTTTCGTATCTCTAGTGCGGGTATTTTGCCCTCTGGACATACTGGACACTGCATCAAACCAAAAGACAAGGAACAATGCAAGGAGAATATACCAGTTTGCTATGCAGGTATTTTGCGAGTGCTAGTATTTTCAAGCACTCGTATAGCACCTGAATTTCCGGAACCTCCTGTAGTTTGTAGGCAGATATCTCTCTGTCGATTGTATTGCATTTTCTTGGTCTTCCTAGTCCATGGTGGAAGAAGTTCCATGTGGACGTAGTTTGGTTGGTCTCCTGCTGGCACACTGTATGGTACTAGAGGTTGGATGTTTTATATAGCTCCGTAGTGGCCCAAGCTCAGCTCCTTCATCTGGGATGTCTAGTATATCCACTCAGACTATCAGATAAGCTCGGAAGCGCAAGATGGAAGCGGTTTGCGTGGCATCTTTCTCCACAATGGTTGTTGTTGGCTGGACTCGAAATCCAGAAAATCAGACAGATGCAAACAATGCTACATATATTTTCGTAGAGTTCAGTGAGCTTGTAATATACATCGGTCTATACTTGCTGCCAGGTTTGCCACTGTTTTGCTGGTAGTTGTATGACTAATAGTTGATCTGAAGGGGAAACGAGATCCAGAGCTCCTTGCATAACTTCGGTACCTGTACTTGTAGATAGATCCTGGCCACGTCATGCATACAGAGAGACTTCTATTCCAGAGCATCCTCTGACTTCATTGTCCGGGTGTAGAAACGTCTTTTAAAGGTGTTTGTTGGGACAGCCCATGCAGTTGGCCACATTTCCTTCAAAATGATCCAGAATTTCACCCGCGTCGTAGATTGAAGCGTATCAAGGTACAGCAATGTTTTCTTGCAGAGTTTGTATTTGTCAAGATTGTTGCGTCGTTCCTGTGTTCCACAGCGGAGGCTAGATCTCCTTGCTCGTTGAAGACGTATTTTGCACTTAAATAGGAAAGTAGTTCCATTCTGTCAAGTGTTCCGGAGAAGTCTTGTGCTTAGTTGATAGAGCATATAACATATTCGTGTAGAAGAAGTTGGCGTTCTAAGTCTGGGAGTTTGTGTTGTAGATCGTTCATATTAATGTCGGAAACGTCTACCATGGCCACAAATACGCTAGTTAGTTCGACTTCAGGATACTTTTGTTTATATTACTGCTTCGGTCTGGCGTATAGTTCATCAGCCCTACTCTATAGAACACTTGCAACGCTAACATACTACTGTTGTGTTCTTGGGTCTGGCGTATGGTTGAATGGTCCTACTCTATAGAACACTTGCAACGCTAACATACTACTGTTGTGTTCTTGGGTCTGGCGTATAGTTGAATGGTCCTACTCTATAGAACACTTGTAACGTTAACATACTACTGTTGTGTTCTTCAGTCTGGCGTATGGTTGAATGATCCTACTCTATAGAACACTTGCAACGCTAACATACTACTGTTGTGTTCTTGGGTCTGGCGTATAGTTGAATGGTCCTACTCTATAGAACACTTGCAACGCTAACATACTACTGTTGTGTTCTTGGGTCTGGCGTATAGTTGAATGGTCCTACTCTATAGAACACTTGCAACGTTAACATACTACTGTTGTGTTCTTCAGTCTGGCGTATAGTTGAATGGTCCTACTCTATAGAACACTTGCAACGTTAACATACTACTGTTGTGTTCTTGGGTCTGGCGTAAAGTTGAATGGTCCTACTCTATAGAACACTTGCAACGCTAACATACTACTGTTGCCAGTACCGGGAACGTTAAACGGACAATGTTATCAACGTGACATCTTGGATGTTGCCGTAATACCCCATTTTGACAATCACACACTTGCCAGTCGTCCCCTGTTCATGGATGATAACGCCACGCCTCATCGTGCCAGAGCAGAGATCCTCCTGTGCAGAATATTGATGAACTGCAACAGGCTCTTCACGAGGAGTGGCAGAGAATCCCGATGCTTAGAATCAGACGTCTCATTTCAAGCATGAGAAGGCGTCTTGAAAATGTGATTCGTGTTAGAGGTGGATACTCCCGATACTGACTAAACAGTTTCTAGAGATAGCCATGATGACAAGAAGCATATTTAAGTTGAACGTTTGACATTGCAGATACCAGTATGGACTGGACAGTGATACTTTTCAGGCCTAATGAAATGGTCGTTTTGACGCTTATTCGCATAACTCCAATAAATTGGTATCAAAGATAATCATCGGCTTCGTTTTCTGTGTAGTGATAGTGCAGGACATCCCTTCAGCAAAATCATTCCTCTTTACATTGAGTCAGACAGGAAATTTCACTTTTCATGATTTGAATGTTGAACTTTTCTGAAAAAGTGGGTGGTGCTTAATTAACGTTTAGATGTATATATAAAAGTATTTTGGAGGCTATGAACAAATATGACAAAGGTATGAAAATATGGCTAGGATTTTAATTTGATTTTGAGGCGGACAAATAATGTTTTTAGTCCAACGTTGTGTATACATAGCCATAGTCATTCACAGTCTCCTGGAAATTGAAAAGGTGGCTCCTCATATTCAATTGAATATTTTATCGCACCTGTATTTTTCATTCCATTATCTTTCTGGAATATCTACAGAACGGCTTTCTGAGAATTAGAAACTGGAAAACAACACATGGCTGCTGATATCTTGGGGAACTGCATGTATTCTTAAAAGAAGGATATTTCCTTATAAGAGAATTTGTAAATTGTGCCTCCCTATAAAAATATCACGAGTGATGTTTAAAATCTATTCCTCCAGCTGGACCATGAATAGTGGAGTCCAATTGTCCCCAATTCACCTGCAAACTCAGCTAGGATCCTATTGAAAGTGTATTTAGTCCTGCAAACTATGGCAGATGAAAGTTTTAATTTTAATAGTTTCCTGTATTTGGCAAGTTCGTGGCATTCTGGTTGATTCTTGCCTCATTTATCTTGCCTCAAATGTTTTTCTCTTATCCTCCATTACATGCACAGCTTATGCACAGCTTTTGCAGCAACAGCATATATTGAGTGAACATTTGGAACACAATATTTTGTCCTATGCAATTACCTCTCATGAGTTATGTTTCGGGTACACTTTTGGTTTGCCACTGAATAAGTTAGTAACGGGTCCCATCGATGGGTCTGGGTGACCCCGACTTTCCTCGTGCATTCGTGTCATCACTTGTTCTAAGTCATTTATGTCTGAGAGGTTGCAAGCGTCAGTCTATTCTGATTATCGAAAAATGGGTCTCTTTAGTTCACTGCTGAACATTAGAGATATATTGTCATTATAATTATAGTTCACTGCTGAACATTAGAGATATATTGTCATTATAATTATAGTTCACTGCTGAACATTAGAGATATATTGTCATTATAATTATAGTTCACTGCTGAACATTAGAGATATATTGTCATTATAATTATAGTTCACTGCTGAACATTAGAGATATATTGTCATTATAATTATAGTTCACTGCTGAACATTAGAGATATTGTTATTATAATTATAGTTCACTGCTGAACATTAGAGATATATTGTCATTATAATTATAGTTCACTGCTGAACATTAGAGATGTCATTATAATTATCAAGAAAAGCGACGCAAGACTATATGGAAAACACGAACGGTTGATGTTTACGACATACACAAACTTGCACTGTGAGGTATGATAATTCAGAAAAGGTTGAGAAGTGGGCCCAAATGTCAGTTCACATATGTTATAGTGGGTTTAAATAAGATATGAACTGTGAAAGTGTGTTTACGAAACGCACATACGTCCTTGATGCAAATCTTCAATCAAAGTCACAGCGGGGATGACTTATTGATAATATATGATTTGCAAACGCTTGTTTACTATTATCTTGTTATCTATTGTCTATCGCTCACTAACCTAGAATTGTGATCGCTCTGATGCTGATAGTTTTGTATTTGTGATACTAAATTAACAATCTTTTCTCATTCCTTCATGGACACGGTGGGCATGTATGTGACGGAACACGTGCTTACATAAAGACGAACATGAATGAAAGCCGCCGCCGTTTCTTGGTTTCCAACTTCAAAAACGACACTGACGAGAGAGAAAGAAAGGGAGGGAGAGAGAGAGGGTGAGAGAGGGGAGGGAGGGAGGGAGGGAGGGAGAGTCAGGGACAGACAGACAGGCAGACAGAGAGTGACATACTGGGAAAGACAGGGACAGGAACTGCTTGTCCTGATGGCGGTTTAATGCTAACACATTGAGACAAGTATCGTGTTCGAACCACAGACCACTCCTCTACAAGCAGACCCTGTTTCCAACAGAACACGTTGGCGATCCTTCATTGTTGGAACATTCAAGGGTTGATATGGTACTGCTAAAACATTTAAAAGTTCCTGAAATGCAGGAAGCAGTTGTTTCCTACGGCTACTCAATAGCTAATGATGCGGCATTGGCTATGCTTGTAATGGAGGATAAGAGAAAATCATTTTCTATGATGAATTAAACAAGAATCAACCAGTATGCTAATCTACGTGCGACGTGAAGTTGAAAGTACAGGATAATAACCCTTATGAACCAGAATTATTCGGGGACAATTGCACTCAACTAATTTTGATCTAGTTAAAGGAATAAATTAAACTTACAAATTTACTTATAAGGAAATATCATTCTTTTAAGAATGTATGCAGTTCCCCCGAATATCACAACAAATGTGTGAATTCAGGTTTCCAGATTTCAGAAAGCTATTTTGACAAAATGACCCGAGACAAAATCATACAATGAAAAATATTTACAAATACAAATGTTTTCCCACCTAAGGAAACAATCATATTTCAAACCCAGGTAAACTTAGAAATAATTCGGAAATATCAGCACATACAACAATTAAACAGAAGGTAATCGAAATACTCTTCGATCATGCATTTCCTGATGTGTCAGCCATTTACTTAAAACACGCAACGTAAAACACAACTTTGCAGATTCTGATACCTTTCGGTATGGACTTACCGAAACAAATCGTCAAAAATGCAAATTCAACTTATAAAGTTGAAAAATAACGCGATGAAAAAAAACGCGCGAAATCGGAGTTCAAACGTTTCACTAATTTTCTGGGGAAAACGGGGTTTCAACAGCTGGGCTGCGCTCATAGCACGTGCGCAGTGAAATAGGTTCGCGTAACTTGGAAGCGCGTTGTCCGGTGAATACTCGGTGAAGGCTTTGGTGTGAGCTATTTTTCTAATGTTTTGTTGATTTCTCACAGGCGCGAGCTTTTTATATGTTATTACAGTAAATTAACTGTTTATATAATTTCACAACACGTTCTTCTTACCGAGTCACTTTCTCAGTTCGATACTTAAAAGCAACGTCATTATTTAGCGTTGACAGAATTTCTAACTGTGATATAGATATGTCGTTGTCACAGACAAAACTCAATGTCTTGTTTTATTGACATCTGTGTGTCTGCCTGCCTGTCTGCTAATGACAATATTCAATGCACATCTGCTATCACTGACCACATGCAATTTGAACTTAACACCAATCAGGCTATACACCATAAACAAAACGCATTGATTTATGGCCCGAGTTCGGTCTCCGTCACATTGTGTAATTACACAGACAGGCAGATGTGATAGTTGAACACATGGCATGTTATGATGTCTGCTGATTGCAAAATGTTATACACAAAAAATGAGCATGTATTTACAAAACCCAACATCTCTACATATACACACACAATAAGCCGTGAGGGCATATGCAAATGAACCAGCCGTTACACTTGAGTGCACACCCACCCGCTCTGACTTGGTTCGGTATCCCGGCTGCTTCGTTTCTTGGGAAGTAAACCGAAGTACACAATATTGCACTTTTGATTTGCGATTGAACGCTTATAATTTTGTTTATATGTTTTTTCATAACCAGCAATGTATATTATATGTCATGAATAAGTGATAATTGTGTTTTAATTATGTTTGATTTTGGTTGCATGACCTTATCCTACCATCTAATCCTACCATCTGATACCAGACATATCCTACCATCTGATACTAGACATATCCTAACAACATATCCTACCATCTGTTCATCTGATACCAGACATACCATCTGATCCTACCAGACTACTAATTATCCTACCATCTGATCCCAGACATTTAACCTGCCATCTGATACCAGACATATCCTACCATCTGATACCAGACATATCCTGCCATCTGATACCAGATATATCCTACCATCTGATACTAGACATATCCTACCATCTGATACCAGACATATCCTACCATCCGATACTAGACATATCCTACCATCTGATACCAGACATATCCAACCATCTGATACCAGACATATCCTACCATATGATATACCAGACATATCCTGACATCCAACATGGCCTACCTTCCTGACATCCAACATGTCCTACCTTCCTGACATCCAACATGGCCTACCTTCCTGACATCCATCATCATGTCTACCTTCCTGACATCCAACAACACCTTCCTGACATCCAACATGTCCTACCTTCCTGACATCCAACATGTCCTACCTTCCTGACATCTAACATGTCCTACCTTCCTGACATCCAACATGTACTACCTTCCTGACATCCAACATGTCCTACCTTCCTGACATCCAACATGTCCTACCTTCCTGACATATCAACATGTCCTACCTTCCTGACATCCAACATGTCTACCTTCTGACATGGCCTGACATCCAACATGATTTACCTTCCTGACATCCATCCTACCTTCCTGACATCCAACATGTCCTATTTTTCCTGACATCCAACATGTCTGACATCCAACATGACTTACACCTTCCTGACATTCATCATGTCCTACCTTCCTGACGTCCAACATGTCCACCTTCCTGACATCCAACATGTCCTACCTTCCTGACATCCAACATGTCCTACCTTCCTGACATCCATCATGTCCTACCTTCCTGACATCCAACATGTCCTACCTTCCTGACATCCAACATGACCTACCTTCCTGACATCGAACATGTCCAGGGTAAATGCCTCCAGCTGGTCATCGTACTTGTGGACATCTCGGTAGGTTGCCACCATTGGCCGGTCAGACATCCTCCACGTGAAGAAATCAGAGTGGAGCTTGGCCAGGTCGCTCGATGCTTCACCTTTGAAATTGAAGCCGGACATTATTTTTCGGGGGCGACAATGCTACGCATACACAACGTTTAGATTAGCAAAACGAACGAATATTTACATACTTATAACTAATTTTGGAAGTTATTGTTTATTGTAGTATGTCAAATCACTGGATACATATCAATTTTGGGTGTTTCAATTATCATTCCTAAGACAGTCTCATTCCTGAGACACTCTAGTACACTATAAACGATCTGGGTTAATTCCTGACAAGAATTGTCTGCCCTGTGACACTTGTGGTGGAGCTGGGAATTTAAACATGAGAGACAACAGTCCTGCTTGTAATGTACAGATACGTGTGAAGCATGATATCATAGTCAAACTCACCTGCGCAACGACAGATTAGCACCAAAGCCACGATGTATACTGTCAGGTTCATCCTGAAACGAAGACTGTTCAGTTTCTCATACCATTTGCATTGTCAGAATATTTTAGGTTATTTACGATAAGAGTGAGTGAGTGAGTGAGTTTAGTTTTACGCCGCACTCAGCAATATTCCAGCTATATGGCGGCGGTCTATTTACGATCAGAAAAGATGAAAGAACATCTGTTTAAGGACTTGCATACAAACGCGTTTGGTGTTGTATATAAAACCAATTTAAAGAAGGTAGACTATAGATAGTCTAGGGAATATATGTCCCCCTATCAAGTCATCAAATATTTACTCTCTTGTAAACTAAGCCAAACCAAACACCCGGGACACACTCTGCACAAACATTGAAACAGAAACTGTGTATAACGTCTTTGTCAGATTCATGTAGACCCGGATTCAAAATGTCTACTTCAACACGGATGTTATCCAAAGTGTATACAGATCTATATGGGTAGCAAGTGTTGCTACGTGGCAGTACGGACAGTGTGTCCCTCCCATGTGCAAGTCCCTCATCATATTATTAGTGATAGCTACAAGTAACCTGCTAGGCGTGTCCAACCTGGTCATCTGTATCTAATGATTAAAACTGACCATCATGTACTGTCAGTCAATAGCAAACACTTCGGAATTCTCTTCTTCCTTTAAAGAAACGAGATTGTATAGAAAGTTCATTGCACATGTTTAACATCACTACTGTGTCCAAACTGGGTGCAGCTATTGTCATATTTACTGGTAAATCAGTAGTTAGTGTGACAAGTGTATATTAACCAGTTTAACACCTGTATAAAGTAAGACTGACTGACTGACTGAGTGTAGTTTTACGCCGCCTTTAGCAATATTCCAGCAATATCACGTCGGGGGACACCAGAAATGGGCTTAGCACGTATAAAGTAAGATGTCAGGATGGTAGGACATGTTGAATATCAGGAAGGTAGGACATGCTGGATGTCAGGAAGGTAGGACATGTTGGATGTCAGGAAGGTAGGACATGTTGGATGTCAGGAAGGTAGGGACATGTTGGATGTCAGGAAGGTAGGACATGTTGGATGTCAGGAAGGTAGGACATGTTGGATGTCAGGAAGGTAGGACATGCTGGATGTCAGGAAGGTAGGACATGTTGGATGTCAGGAAGGTAGGACATGCTGGATGTCAGGAAGGTGGGACATGTTGGATGTCAGGAAGGTAGGACATGCTGGATGTCAGGAAGGTAGGACATGTTGGATGTCAGGATGGTAGGTCATGTGCGATGTCAGGAAGGTAGGACATGTTGGATGTCAGGAAGGTAGGACATGTTGGATGTCAGGAAGGTAGGACATGTTGGATGTCAGGAAGGTAGGACATGTTGGATGTCAGGAAGGTAGGACATGTTGGATGTCAGGAAGGTAGGACATGTTGGATGTCAGGAAGGTAGGACATGTTGGATGTCAGGAAGGTAGGACATGATGGATGTCAGGGAAGTAGGACATGCTGGATGTCAGGAAGGTAGGACATGTTGGATGTCAGGAAGGTAGGCCATGTTGGATGTCAGGAAGGTAGGACATGTTGGATGTCAGGAAGGTAGGCAATGTGCGATGTCAGGAAGGTAGGACATGTTGGATGTCAGGAAGGTAGGGCATGTTGGATGTCAGGAAGGTGGGACATGTTGGATGTCAGGATGGTAGGCCATGTGCGATGTCAGGAAGGTAGGACATGTTGGATGTCAGGAAGGTAGGACATGTTGGATGTCAGGAAGGTAGGACATGTTGGATGTCAGGAAGGTAGGACATGTTGGATGTCAGGAAGGTAGGACATGTTGGATGTCAGGAAGGTAGGACATGTTGGATGTCAGGAAGGTAGGACATGTTGGATGTCAGGAAGGTAGGACATGATGGATGTCAGGAAGGTAGGACATGTTGATGTCAGGGATGGTAGGACATGTTGGATGTCAGGAAGGTAGGACATGTTGGATGTCAGGAAGGTAGGACATGTTGGATGTCAGGAAGGTAGGACATGTTGGATGTCAGGAAGGTAGGACATGCTGGATGTCAGGAAGGTAGGACATGTTGGATGTCAGGAAGGTAGGACATGTTGGATGTCAGGAAGGTAGGACATGTTGGATGTCAGGGAACATGTTGGATGTCAGGAAGGTAGGACATGTTGGATGTCAGGAAGGTAGGACATGTTGGATGTCAGGAAGGTAGGACATGCTGGATGTCAGGAAGGTAGGCCATGTTGGATGTCAGAAAGGTAGGACATGTTGGATGTCAGGAAGGTAGGACATTCTGGATGTCAGGAAAGTAGGAAATGCTGGATGTCAGGAAGGTAGGCATGTTGGATGTCAGGAAGGTAGGACATGTTGGATGTCAGGAAGGTGGGACATGTTGGATGTCAGGAAGGTAGGACATGCTGGATGTCAGGAAGTTAGGACATGCTGGATGTCTCACTGGACGCGATATCGATAATCTGCGGGCACTCTATGATGAATGCCTGCCAGTGTCCACGCAATTATGGTTCCATTTGCAGTAAGTAGTATATATAGTCTCCTGTCTTTGTGGGCTTGTTACGACCAACTACATACAGCAAAAAAAGCCCACCATGTTTGATTGTAAGAGATCTGAGATCCTTAAATATTTGCTTGTGTGTTCCTTCAGTCTGTGTGTCTGATGCAACATGAGTTAGAACTACAACGGTACAGAATTGGGCTACTTACATGGACAAATAAGGTTGTCAGCTGCTTGCATATGTCACAAGCCTCAAGTTGATTATGTTAATGCCAATGTTTACCCCTTTATGCCTGAGGGCCCCGAATTGGCAAGTATGTTAATTTCATGTGTCTGGCACAGAGTGAAGGTGAGTTTTCAACACCTATAAGTTTGTGTGAAACCGCCTAGGGATATGTATGGTCATGTGCGGTATGAAACCAGTAACCCAGATAAATATTCATATTTTAGACTCTGATTGACAAACATGTACGTGCAATGTTACACTTCACCCTCTCTGGCCTTTATAATTTAGATTCCTATGTTTTGTTTTACCTCAGTAGTGTTCGCTCACGATGTTGACCGTTGTAGATAGTTCAAGCTTGGCAAGCAACTTAAGTGACCTCGTGCGTCTAACCTGTTAGCTATATCTCAACATCTCAACAGTTTATAGCGGTTGCAACATGTGGTTGGTGACACAGAATTATTGTTTTGGAACGTGTCATTTCCAATGTTTCTCTCACACTACACTGACCGAGGTAACAACTTACCTGCCCTCCATCGTTCTCCCTCTCCCTCAGAAATTAATCACTGCACACAAGCTACCCGGCCTGGTCCCAGCCTGCATAAACACAAAGCCGTAAGTAAATCTGTCTTCAGCGACAAGTGTGAGCTTGTGTCCTCCAACTGTCCCAGTATCATATTGCAGCTGTTCCAATGCTCAGATGCGTATCGCGCTATGTAACTGTCCCAGTATGATAAAGAACTGTCTTGGTACGCATGCTATTATGCAATCTTCCTAGTGTCAGTATGCAACTGCCCCAGTTCTGATATGCAACTGTCTTGATCTCGGTATGCAACTGTCCTAGTTTCAGTATGCAACTATCCTAGTATGCGTCTGCATTTGCCTCCGTGTGCAACTGTCGTAGCCTCGGAACGCAACTGTCGTAGTATCGGTACGCAACTGTCGTAGTATCGGTACGCAACTGTCGTAGTATCGGTATGCAACTGTCGTAGTATCGGTACGCAGCTGTCGTAGTATCGGAACGCAACTGTCGTAGTATCGGTACGCAGCTGTCGTAGTATCGGTATGCAACTGTCGTAGTATCGGTATGCAACTGTCGTAGTATCGGTACGCAACTGTCGTAGTATCGGTATGCAACTGTCGTAGCATCGGTATGCAACTGTCTGTAGTAGTAGTCGCAACTGTCGTAGTATCGGTATGCAACTGTCGTAGTATCGGTATGAAACTGTCATTGTATCGGTATGCAACTGTCGTAGTATCGGTATGAAACTGTCATAGTATCGGTATGAAACTGTCGCAGTATCGGTATGCAACTGTCGTAGTATCGGTATGAAACTGTCATAGTATCGGTATGCAACTGTCGTAGTATCGGTATGAAACCGTCCAAGTTCAGAATGAAACTGTCGCAGTATCGGTATGCAACTGTAGTAGTATCGGTATGAAACCGTCCAAGTTCAGAATGAAACTGTCGCAGTATTGACATGCAACTGTCCTGGTTTCAGCATCCATGTACCTTAGTGTCGGTATGCAACTGACCTAGTATCGTTATGCAACTGCCCGTGCCCCTACCTCCTATGTGTCAGTGTAAATATGTATTAGACACATTCTGCGTGCACTTGCTTGAAAGCGAGCCTGTGAAACCTGCACCTTCCGTACAGTAGAAGAGACCCACTGACAGATATCTACCACACAATGAAACGTATATTTATGATATATGTGTTTAGATAATCTCTTGTTTAGCATACATTCAAACAATACGTAGAAACTGCGAAAAACTGCTACAACCGTACATTCTACAGTATCTATATCATGCCCCGACGTCTGTACAACTGGGAGTAATATGACGGACAGGTGGAACAAATTGACGACTGTATACTAGATGGCCGGGTATGGCTCGGGCTGGGGAAAGTGAGCGTTCGAAATGTTTATCACATTGAAGCAAGAAACTGACGATGATTTTCACATAATCTGCCCGTAACTGTCTTTCGGAATACCTGAGTTTACATTTTCGTGGCTGTGTGAGGTTTTCGAAGTTAAAGTTTCCCCATACAGTGAGCGACACTCTAATCGTTCGGCAGAAAGGTCGCAGTGACCTGACCTGACACCTCAATTCTTAATGTAGCGGTAGGAAACAGTAGGTTGGTTTACAGTAATAAAATATGCTTATGGCATACTAACGACTATCAGAGAAAAACCTGTACAAGAAGATGAACGGTATCCCATAACCTTTAACTATGTGCATTAGGCAACAAGCACGCGAGCGTGTGCGTGTTTGAGTGCGTGCGTGTGTGCGTGCGTGCGTGCTTGCGACATACCTCTGGATGGCACATAAATCTGTGTGAGTACAACAGTAGCTGACTAAACCGCAGCATGAAGGCACAGATCATCTTGTTAAGGTCAAACACAACAACACCACCTCGATAACAGAACCCACCAGTTCATCACAGGGGATGGCTGATCTGTATATAGAGTTGTTCCAGGAAATACCGAATGGTACATGGGTTATGCTCCGGAAACATAACGTAAAGGATGGACGACGTTTATACGTATGAGCGGGACTTGACACATATAAAACATTGACGTTAGCGTGTACTTTAGGTTCCAGCGACTACGTGAACGTAGAATGACCTTTGTTTGCAATACACAACACGAGAACCACCCACATTGTTCAGGAAACTCAACAGCATACACTGCATCATTATTATGCCCCTCTTGTGATCGATGTGTATTTGTCGGCATTCATTCGATCCCCTATTTGTGATTGAGTTGTGCTGAGTTGATTTTTACGCAGCATTCAGCAATATTCCAGCCTATATACTACGACAGGGGTCGGTCTGTAAATAATCCAGTCTGAACCAGATAATCCAGTGATCAACACCACGAGCATCGATCTACGCAATTGGGATACGATGACTTGTGGTAACCAAGTCAGCGAGCCTGACCACCCGATCCCGTTAGTCGCCTCTTACGCCAAGCATGGGTTACAGAAGATCAATTCTACCTCGGATGTTCACGGGTCGCTCTGTGTGTGAGTGTATTACAGTCATTAGTGGTTACAGCACTCAAATTACCTTACAGAGGCATTGGTAACCTGTATGATATGTCGCAATATTCTAGTATATTTCACAGTCTCCCCTGAGTTCAATGTGTCGGTGCCATGTATATCATCCGTGCACTTGTGCACATTGTGTTCTGGATCCCATGTATGAAATCAGCCGTTGTTACCGTATGAAATATATCTATTTATATAATCTATATTTGCTTATTTACCTATCTAGACTTTTCAGAATTAAAAACTATTACCTGACGAAGGGTCACTATTTGGCATGGGTTTAGTCTTTGATAATAATCGATTCTAAGATTGCCTTACATATCTAGGTCTAACCTGCTGAATGTACTTTACAGATGTTATGTTATGTCAGCAATTATCGAAAGATCACTTGAGGTACAAAAGAAACCCCCAAAATCGATCAGATGATTAACTGACAATACGTTGATTAATCGATCACTATTATCGGGCAGGGAGGATTTGTCAAAACAAGCTGTTATACATGTTTACTAGAGCGTGCTGAATACACTGATGTGTATCACAGTATCAGGAAACTATAATTGTACGTCAATAGCATTATATCACTGACAAATTCAACCATAACTATAAATGGCTCAACTACATTAAAATCATGCATATTAGATAATATTGGTATGTCTAATATATGGCACTCTTTAAGACATAGTTTCATTATCTTGGTTCAAAAATGATATTAAGCTTAGAATTGCTTAACGACCCCATATCATCTTCCTCTAAGCTACTATCTATGAGTGTATGAAATCTCATTATAATATTTCTTTACTGGAACGTAAATTAGGAAGAAAGCACTGTAATATTTTAATCAAATTTTATACCGCTGACCATAAATTATCATAAATTGAAACAGGTCGCTGGGAAAATATTCCCTCAAATCTACGATTTTGTTTACTAAGTCCCTCCCAAATCGGGGATTAATTTCATCATTTAATTCAGTGTACTAAATGTTTCTGCCTCCAGAAATATGTATTCAAAGAATTATTTTGTAAACAATCCTAACTATTATAAAATGTCAGCCCTATTTGAAACTCATCACGTACAGCAATTACGAAATCTATGTATTGTTTTCCCATCATAATGTCTGTCAATATGACATGATTAGTTTATCCATACATAATTGCTGGATTTGTTTGAAGCCATAGTCTCAAATGTGATATATTTCTGAAAAATATCCCCATAATGTTTTGCATGTATTTGAAACTTATGGTCATAAAAGTTGATTGATTTGTGTGGGCGATAAATGCCTACATAAAAACACAATACTGTCCTTAAGGGATTAGGTGACTGATCGTATTGTTGTGTGGATTGTTTTAAGAAACTGCGGACATCATGAACATTTCTGTCACGTGTGCCTTCTCAGCTGACCAATGAGAGTAAAGACCTACGTGAAACAAAATCTAATGCAATTCAATCTGTAAGGTTAGAAACAATCGCCATAGTTGTGTCATAATATTAGATAGCTAGTCTGTTTGAAGCGGCCAAATATCATCTCTATCCATCTATTGTTGGTTGTGTAGCAGTATGTTTGTAAATAGTATATTGTTAAAAAAAATAATAAATAACGTAAGTATCAATATTTAACATTTATTTTCCTAAATACCTCTATTAACATGCACAAATCTACTAACTCATGGGTAAGCTAGTTTCTGTAGACAGCTTGTATAATTCAAACTGTTCAATGTAAGTTTTTGGCCATTGTGACTCGGTCAGTCACAGGCTTGGCCTGTGGTTAGGGACTTGAGGTTGGGTGCGCATGATCGTTTCACTCATGGAGATACACTGGTCCAAACTTCTGCACGTCGGGACCAATTCCCTGCTCAAAAACATATGGTAAATTCATCTAATTATATTTTTTCTTAGGAAACGTAGGTTTGGTTGCTATGCATTTTAAGCAGTGTTGTTATACATAGCAGTTTAGGTCTAGCATTGGACCTGAGTTCCGATGTTACAAAGGCATTCCTTACGATATTTGCATTTCGTTCATTTTCTGCAGGATTGGACATAGTCATTCTACATTCTCCAGGATAGTGTTTTTCTACTTCCTTCGGAATGGTGTTTCTATACTTTCTTCAGGATAGCTCTGTGGTTTTCTCCAGTGTGTGACAGGCAACTTTAAGTAGCTGTTTTCACAAGCGTTTGTAGGTGTGTACAGGTACAAGTGTTAATGGGATTCATTTGGGTAATTTATATAAAATGTCTATATATTTTAATCATTTGACTGGAATTGACTTTTAACACACCGACTGTATTTCAGTAATATTCTAAAGGGTTTAGACACATAAGCATAGCCTTACTATACCGGGTGACGATGGGGTAGCCTGGTGGTTAAAAGCGTTCGCTCGTCACACCGAAAACCTGTGCTGGAATAGTGCTAAAAGCGGTGTAAAACTAAAACTCACTACTATGCCGGAATTAGAAGCCCCAAAATGCACATTCACATTTTTATTATTTTCATTGACTTGGTTTAAATTGTTTGAAATTCGCTATCCCAAAGAGGACAGTGTGTGAGAAAACTTAAACATTTATGCGTTTCAAAGAATGTCGAAGTTAAAGTTTTACTGTCATTTTACGCAACATGCATATGGTATGAGGAGCAATGCCAGGGTTGAATCCTGTTTGTGTCACAGGTCTAAGTAATGTAAACGAGAATCTCAGAATACCAACAAAGTCACATATCAAAACAACGTCACTATTACGACCCCAAAAGAATTCCCAGACAAAACATTTTTACAGATTTTTTGTTCATATACCTATACATCATATACGGGAGGAGCAGCATATGTCGCCATACTATCTAGATGTGGGTGAGATCCCGATGTTGATGGGGAAAACAGTGACAAAGGCTATATCCCGTCTCGAGGAATTGTCACATATCTATACTGGACTGTAGGCAGGTTTGTATCAAAACTACTGTACCTGGAGAGATTGTGATCAATGTGACACTTACCTGTCTAAATGGCACATCTGTAAACAAGGAAGGGTGTTTTACTGAAATAACTTGCTCCTCCACCTGATGAAGGTGGTCAAGTTCTGCTACATTCGTGCTCCTTCACCTGATGAAGGTGGTGTAGTTCTCTACATTCTTGCTCCTTCACCTGATGAAGGTGGTGTAGTTCTCTACATTCGTGCTCCTTCACCTGATGAAGGTGGTGTAGTTCTCTACATTCTTGCTCCTCCACCTGATGAAGGTGGTTCTCACATTCTTGTTCTCTACATTCTTGCTCCTCCTTCACCTGATGAAGGTGGTCAAGTTCTCTACATTCTTGCTCCTCCACCTGATGAAGGTGGTGAAGTTCTCTACATTCTTGCTCCTTCACCTGATGAAGGTGGTCAAGTTCTCTACATTCTTGCTCCTCCACCTGATGAAGGTGGTCAAGTTCTCTACATTCTTGCTCCTTCACCTGATGAAGGTGGTCAAGTTCTCTACATTCTTGCTCCTCCACCTGATGAAGGTGGTCAAGTTCTCTACATTCTTGCTCCTCCACCTGATGAAGGTGGTCAAGTTCTCTACATTCTTGCTCCTCCACCTGATGAAGGGGTCAAGTTCTCTACATTCTTGCTCCTCCACCCTGATGAGGTGGTCAAGTGAAGGGGGTCAAGTTCTCTACATTCTTGCTCCTCCACCTGATGAAGGTGGTTAGGTTCTTTACATTCTTGCTCCTCCACCTGATGAAGGTGATCAAGTTCTCTACATTCTTGCTCCTTCACCTGATGAAGGGGATCAAGTTCCCTACTTTCTTGCTCCTTCACCTGATGAAGGGGATCAAGTTCTCTACATTCTTGCTCCTTCACCTGATGAAGGGGATCAAGTTCTCTACATTCTTGCTCCTTCACCTGATGAAGGTGGTCAAGTTCTCTACATTCTTGCTCCTTCACCTGATGAAGGGATCAAGTTCTCTACATTCTTGCTCCTCCACCTGATGAAGGGGATCAAGTTCTCTACATTCTTGCTCCTTCACCTGATGAAGGTGGTCAAGTTCTCTACATTCTTTCTCCTTCACCTGATGAAGGGGATCAAGTTCCCTACTTTATTGCTCCTTTGCCTGATGAAGGGGGTCAAGTTCTCTACATTGTTGCTCCTCCACCTGATGAAGGGGATCAAGTTCTCTACATTGTTGCTCCATCACCTGATGAAGGTGGTCAAGTTCTCTACATTCTTGCTCCATCACCTGATGAAGGGGATCAAGTTCTCTACATTCTTGCTCCTTCACCTGATGAAGGGGATCAAATGTTCTACGTTCTTGCTTCTCCACCTGGTGAAGGTGGTCAAGTTCTTTACATTCTTGCTCCTTCACCTGATGAAGGGGATCAAGTTCTCTACATTCTTGCTCGTCGGACCTATGCTGTGTGTGTCTGGTCATGTTAGGTCGCTTGGACGTGAGTACATAGGCGCCCGACTCTGATATATTTATGACCTATATGTATAAGAATGATCTATTGTATAAGATATAAAAAAGTTTTGTCTGTAAATCGAAACAAAATGGCGGCCCGGCTCGGCACGGCTCTGTTTCGGTCTGACAAACGCTTCCATCGCTTTGACCGCTGAATAACCTGCACAATGTATACTCAGTTGACCTCTGTAAAGTACCTTGGGTATCGCAAACCTGGTGATTTTATTCCCATTAAAGCTTTCAATAATTTTGCCGTCCATACTCGCACGATGTCAGGACATATGCCTGACATATGAAGTAAACAAATCTCAGGCTACAGACCAGCACCAAATAGTAGAGCGAGTGTTTGATTGGATAGCGTCTTCTATTATTCCCACCCAGCCTGAGATTTGTTTACTTCCGGGCATATGTCCGTGCAGGTGTTATGCATGGCGTGTACGGTGAGTGTGAAGATGGATGTTTCATGTGTGAATATGTGTGTGTGTGTTGTAATAACCTTTTGAATAAACTTATGTTGTTAATCTTCATACTGTGTTGTGATGATGATGGTGATGACGCTCTTGGGCTATTCAGTGACAGTGATCAAGTTCTCTACATTCTTGCTCCTTCAAGAATCACCTGATGAAGGAGCAGGAATTAGCTCTGAAACGTCGCATAAAGAAGTTGTTATTCATAAAAAACGAGTCATGTATTCATGTTCGTCCACCTTCTATATGCCTTTCAAGAACTCCAGATGAAAGTAGTCTAAAATGCGATGTAATGATAGGGAGCTGAACAAACTGGCCATGTCTCTTTCACGGATGGCAAGTATTTATTACAGCTGAAAAACTTTATTTATGCACGCGCTGCGTTCTTGAATCTGGAAACTATCCCTGCAGACATGTGGAAATCCGAACAAAGCAAATAGTGCCATTGAGTTAAGTAATGACTTAACATTAGTAGAGGAATATTCGTAATGAACGCCTAGGTAAGGATACCTGTGTACGTTTTACTATTATATTGAGAAGTACGTAACACTCTTGCAGGCTCCTTTAACAGCTATCTACTCAAGGTTGATTAAAACTTCTCGCACTACACACACAGACCTGTATAATAACTCAAATCACAAACACGGTGTACAATGCCAAGAAAAACACAGCGCTGTGACCAGAAACAATCATACTTATTCAGGTAAAATATACACCCAGAAACAAAATCCGCATTGGAAGAAAAACTAAAATGACAACAGAACGTTGTAAACAAAAATATTAATTAAAAGTATATTGGACAAGAGGTCTCACGTAACTCTCTCATAGCATCGTCAAAAAGTTCTCTGAAACAGTTCTGGAAGGTTTTCATTAACATCAGATCATTGATTCTCTTTCAATTTCGATAATGATGAATAAAATTTTCATGATTGGCATAAATGTTTTTTATTCATACACATCGGATATCCGAAGACTGCTCGAACACTCCCGGAGTCCAAATTGTCTTGAGATTAAGATCGCTCCCTGAATAGATCAAACCTTTAACTGGGTGAAACGGAGCCATAGACGAAGCTATGTAAATTAATGTGGATAAGGTTAGTTTCCACAATGGTGTCGTGATGGTTCTGATTAGGTTAGAGACAGAGACAATATCCTCATGTTGGCATCATGTGGATAAATGGGGCATTATGGGGATCAATATGGATACAGGTGGATGAGTCCAGCAATATGTGACCGTACACAGACTACTGTCACTGTTTGCATTGATGATAAGTTGAAGAGTCAAGATATCCGTGTGGATCTCTAAGCAGAATGACGGCGTACCCCTGGAGCACTCAACCACCAGATGTCCAAATAGCACCATTATCGTAATATTTAATACCACCAGGATGAGATGAAGTTATTCCAACATGGCTCGTGCTATACGGTATATTTTAGATTTATGGTAATATGTGGTTTCACAAGGTCGCTTGAGACAGTGGGAATCTATATTTATGTTTTTACTCAACTCAGCCACTGAGATGTGAGACTGAGTGTGGTGAGACACAGAGCCATAAGAAAAGAGACGTGTTGAGTATAGGCGGCATCTGTGTTCGCCTCCTCCGCTGTGGGAGACTTGTAAGCAGTGGTGGAACTACTGTTGTAGTTTAGGATCCAGTCGTCCACGATCTCCTCCAGGATGGTGAGTGGCACAGGGCCGTTCTCCAGCACCACGGAGTGGAAGTCTCGGATGTCAAACTGCTCACCTGGAATCAATAACCGTATATACTTGTGTCATATGTCCTCCATAGTTCCGTTTATGTTCCTGTTTATGTTATAACATGGCTTACAGATAACGCTATAAAACGTTGTTATAACATCATTGCCAGACAAACATCTTGTCGCACGATGTAAAACGTTGTTATGACATCATCGCCCGACAAACATCTTGTCGAGAGCTTTAAAACGTTGGTATAACATGATCGCACGACAAACATATTGTCGAACGCTATAAAACGTTGTTATAACATCATCGCCCGACAAACATCTTGTCGAACGCTGTAAAACGTTGGTATAACATGATCGCAAGACAAACATCTTGTCGAACGCTATAAAACGTTGTTATAACATCATTGCCAGACAAACATCTTCACGAAAACTATAAAACGTTGTTAGGACATCATCGCCCGACAAACATCTTGTCGAACGCTATAACACGTTGTTATGACATCATTGCCAGACAAACATCTTGTCGAACGCTATAAAACGTTGTTATGGCATCATCGCCCGACAAACATCTTGTCGAAAGCTATAAAACGATGTTATGACATCATCGCCCGACAAACATCTTGTCGAACGCTATAAAACGTTGTTATAACATCATTGCCAGACAAACATCTTGTTCGTAAAACGTTGTTATGCATTTATATTGTCGAACGCTTTAAAACGTTGGTATAACATGATCGCAAGACAAACATCTTGTCGAACGCTTTTAAAACGTTGTTATAACATGATCGCCTGACAAACATCTTGTCGAACGCTTTAAAACGTTGTTAGGACATCATCGCCCGACAAAGATCTTGTCGAACGCTATAACACGTTGTTATGACATCATTGCCAGACAAACATCTTGTCGAACGCTATAAAACGTTGTTATAACATAATTGCCAGACAAACATCTAGTCGAACGCTCTAAAACGATGTTATAACACCATTGCCAGACAAACATCTTGTCGAACGCTTTAAAACGTTGGTATAACATGATCGCCCGACAAACATATTGTCGAACGCTTTAAAACATTAATATAACATGATCGCAAGACAAACATCTTGTCGAACGCCATAAAACGTTGTTATAACATCATTGCCAGACAAACATCTTGTCGAACGCTATAAAACGTTGTTATAACATCATTGCCAGACAAACATCTTGTCGAACGCTGTAAAACGTTGTTATGACATCATCGCCCGACAAACATCTTGTCGAACGCTTTAAAACGTTGGTATAACATGATCGCAAAACAAACATCTTGTCGAACGCTTTAAAACGTTGGTATAACATGATCGCCCGACAAACATCTTGTCGAACGCTTTAAAACGTTGTTATAACATCATTGCCCGACAAACATCTTGTCGAACGCTATAAAACGTTGTTATGACATCATTGCCAGACAAACATCTTGTCGAACGCTATAAAACGTTGTTATAACATCATTGCCAGACAAACATCTTGTCGAACGCTCTAAAACGATGTTATAACACCATTGCCCGACAAACATATTGTCGAACGCTTTAAAACGTTGGTATAACATGATCGCCCGACAAACATATTGTCGAACGCTTTAAAACGTTAATATAACATGATCGCAAGACAAACATATTGTCGAACGCTATAAAACGTTGTTATAACATCATTGCCAGACAAACATCTTGTCGAACGCTATAAAACGTTGTTATAACATCATTGCCAGACAAACATCTTGTCGAACGCTGTAAAACGTTGTCATGACATCATCGCCCGACAAACATCTTGTCGAACGCTTTAAACGTTGGTATAACATGATCGCAAAACAAACATCTTGTCGAATGCTATAAAACGTTGTTATAACATGATCGCCCGACAAACATCTTGTCGAACGCTTTACAACGTTGTTAGGGACATCATCGCCCGACAAACATCTTGTCGAACGCTATAACACGTTGTTATGACATCATTGCAAGACAAACATCTTGTCGAACGCTATAAAACGTTGTTATAACATCATTGCCAGACAAACATCTTGTCGAACGCTATAAAACGTTGTTATGGCATCATCGCCCGACAAACATCTTGTCGAACGCTCCAAAACGATGTTATAACACCATTGCCAGACAAACATATTGTCGAATGCTTTAAAACGTTGGTATAACATCATTGCCAGACAAACATCTTGTCGAACGCTATAAAACGTTGTTATGACATCATCGCCAGACAAACATCTTGTCGAACGCTCTAAAACGATGTTATAACACCATTGCCAGACAAATCATATTGTCGAACGCTTTAAAACGTTGGTATAACATGATCGCCCGACAAACATATTGTCGAACGCTTTAAAACGTTGGTATAACATGATCGCAACACAAACATATTGTCGAACGCTATAAAACGTTGTTATAACATCATTGCCAGACAAACATCTTGTCGAAAGCTATAAAACGTTGTTATGACATCATCGCCCGACATACATCTTGTTGAACGCTATAAAACGTTGTTATAACATCATTGCCAGACAAACATCTTGTCGAACGCTATAAAACGTTGTTATGACATCATCGCCCGACAAACATCTTGTCGAACGCTCTAAAACGATGTTATAACACCATTGCCCGACAAACATATTGTCGAACGCTTTAAAACGTTGGTATAACATGATCGCCCGACAAACATATTGTCGAACGCTTTAAAACGTTGGTATAACATGATCGCAAGACAAACATATTGTCGAACGCTATAAAACGTTGTTATAACATCATTGCCAGACAAACATCTTGTCGAAAGCTATAAAACGTTGTTATGACATCATCGCCCGACAAACATCTTGTTGAACGCTATAAAACGTTGTTATAACATCATTGCCAGACAAACATCTTGTCGAACGCTGTAAAACGTTGTTATGACATCATCGCCCGACAAACATCTTGTCGAACGCTTTAAAACGTTGGTATAACATGATCGCAAAACAAACATATTGTCGAACGCTATAAAAGGTTGTTATAACATGATCGCCCGACAAACATCTTGTCGAACGCTTTAAAACATTGTTAGGACATCATCGCCCGACAAACATCTTGTCGAACGCTATAACACGTTGTTATGACATCATTGCCAGACAAATATCTTGTCGAACGCTATAAAACGTTGTTATAACATGATTACTTGTTTGAGTGGCATTTTAGAAGTTGAGACGTACAATATATAACAAGTTTTATGGATAACAACTTCTTTATTTTCGTGAGTGCGACGTTTCGATACAGATTCTTGTACCGTTGTCAAGCAAGAGTGATACATGAAGTGTAGGAGCTGCATATATATACTGCACCCTTCAAACCGTCCTGCTGGTACCGCAAAGTGGATGACACCTTCGTCGTCCTCCAACCTCAGCAAGATCCAAAGCAGCTCCGCGCCCATCTCAACAGCCAACATCCCCGCATCGAATTCACCATTGAAACAGAGCAGAACAACCAACTACCTTTCCTTGATGTCCTTGTGTCCCGCACCTCCTGCAACCAACTCCAGACCTCCGTGTACAGAAAACCAACTCATACGGATCAATACAGCCACTACAACTCCAACCACCCACCTAAAGTCAAGACCGGCGTCATCTCTACATTGACCAGAAGAGCCAAAAACATCTGCTCAACAAACCTACAGGAAGAAATTGAACACCTGAGGAAAGTCTTTGTGGAACGCAACCACTACCCACCTGAAATAGTCAACAGAACCATCGAAGCAACGCTTTCACCTCCTGCCAAAAGGTCTAAACTAGAATCAGCCCCCATCAAGATATCCATTCCCTACATTGGTAAACCATCACACCAAATCAGCCGACTCCTGGAAACAACAGGCAGGAATAGACACTACCTTCTCAGCGTCCTCCAGCCTCAACAACCTCCTCCATGCCAACGGAAGAAAACAACCCACCGTCAACAACAACAACCCGAAATGTGTTATTTACAAAATAGACTGTGATTGTGGACAATGCTACATAGGTGAAACATCCCGACCCATCAACACCCGAGTCAAAGAACATCGCACCTCTGTTGCTAATTCCGACACCAAATCAGCTATCTCTGACCACATCAAAGCCAACCCCAATCATCAAATAGAGTGGTCCGACATTACCATTCTCGCCAACAACCAAACGGACTTCACTAAACGCAAGCTCACAGAAGCCATTCACATCAAACGGCACAAGCCTACCATCAACCGTGACCAAGGATACTTCATTCCATCTGCTTATGATCCACTCCTCCACCAAGCCCAGTCTATTGTATAAACATCGCATCCATTGTATAAACATCTCATTGTAACTACATCTCTGGCTTCCTCTCACTATCCTTTATGTACTTACTGGCTTCATCAGCTTACTGCTTAGCCAATCATGGCAATTATGTTGTTTCCCTTGTCTATTATGTTGTTTCATTGTTATATACAGTATATATATGCAGCTCCTACACTTCATGTATCACTCTTGCTTGACAACGGTACAAGAATCTGTATCGAAACGTCGCACTCACGAAAATAAAGAAGTTGTTATCCATAAAACTTGTTATATATTATAACATGATTGCCAGACAAACATCTTGTCGAACGCTATAAAACGTTTTTATGGCATCATCGCCCGACAAACATCTTGTCGAACGCTCTAAAACGATGTTATAACACCATTGCCCGACAAACATCTTGTCGAATGCTTTCAAACGTTGGTATAACATGATCGCAAGACAAACATATTGTCGAACGCTATAAAACGTTGTTATAACATCATTGCCAGACAAACATCTTGTCGAAAGCTATAAAACGTTGTTATGACATCATCGCCCGACAAACATCTTGTCGAACGCTATAAAACGTTGTTATAACATCATTGCCAGACAAACATCTTGTCGAACGCTGTAAAACGTTGTTATGACATCATCGCCCGACAAACATCTTGTCGAACGCTTTAAAACGTTGTAAGGACATCATCGCCCGACAAACATCTTGTCGAACGCTCTAAAACGA